TATATTTAGTTAATTAATTAATTATGTTAAATTGTTTTTAGTTGGTTGTATTAGAATAATTTTTCAATTAATTGTAATTTTATTAAATAAATTTTAAAAAATTAATTAAGTTAATTTGATTTATTTTTAGTTAATTAATTAATTAGGTTAATTATTTTTAATTGGTTGAATTATAAATTTATTTATAATAATACTTGTTTATTTATTGTTATTTTAGATTTAATTAGGTTAGAATTAGAATTAATTAGTTTAATTATTTTGTATATATTTATAGAAGTGTGTCGAGATACATTGCTATGTATCAAATTCGAGAGATCGAAGACCTTGGGGAATTGATGAAAAATAAGATTATTTCAATGCTTTGCAATCGAGATCGGAGGAAGAGTTTGTGATTTAATTTCGATGGATATCAAAGACAATTGTTGGTCTTAGTGTGCATAATGTTTGTGTGATCATTTGAGGTATTTGTTAATTGGAAAATGTGCAATTTACAAAGGAGACTCGTTGAAATTTTATTAGATGTTTAGAAAAATTATTAATTAAATAATTTTGTGTTGCCTCGAAAATGCGAAACAAAATAATAAAGTCCAATCATGAATGGTTGTATGTTAGGTGTATAGACGGGTATTTAAATAATGATTTTATAAATGGGGTTGAAGAATTTACTATATTTGCTATTACTCATCTTGAATGTATGGACGGATGATTTTATGTTTGTTGTGCATTTTAAACGTGTTGAATTTTGTTTGTTTTAAATTATAATAATTTATAATATATTTTTTATCAAATTGTTATTTATTTGTTAAACTATTTAAGGTGTTATTCTTTAGTCATGTCTCATGGATTGAGAAGATCCGGTCGCGGTATTAATGGTTGTGGCTCGATGTTGATCGTGCAGTGGTAGTGGCGGTGTATGTGGCATTATTGGTTTAATTGGTCGGGGCCGCACACTTGATAGTAGTGCGGACACATCTATATCCCCTCTAGTAGTGCTCCCACTGGCGGTACCCTTGTCAATAATTATCGAGCATTTTTTTCTTTTTTTAATGTTCGACAATTTCATTCTATCTAGTAGAGATCATTCTGCGAGGATAGCCATGAATTTTAAGGAGCAATTGGATGACAATGGGTCGACATGGAAGTCCGTCTTGGAGCTCACTAAATAGTTCTATTTTAGTGAGCTTAAAGTAAGGTATTACTTATTTATTTTTATTATATTTAAAATATTAATTTAATATTAAATGAAGTAGTTAAAATTAATTCCTATTATTCATGTAGAAATATTTTTATTGAGATCTAGCCATCGAAGCACGTGCTAGAGATGCTTGGGAGGCACCACTCCGACTTCATTTACAACCATGATTCGCTACCCAAAACGACTCTAATTTTATTAGGTAGAAGGTCCGAGACTCATGGCATCAAGATTTTTCCAAACCTAATCGTAAGACTCATTCAAAGCAAGCATCGCGAAACAAAATGTCGAAGATCGATGGACTCGGTGTGGGCCCTTCTAGGCATACAGGGGGTCCATCTCTTCGAAGAGCACGCCAATAGCTTGGTAAAATCATATCTTATATTATTAGATGTTTAAAAAAATTTAATTTACACCTTATATTATTTGTGATTGATTTTTTTCTAGTGGTAAAATTAGGACATGAGCTAACGAGTTTAGAGTTTGGGGCTATACACAAGCAACGAGATGACATTTTCGTCGATTTGCACGCCAACATACAATAGTAAGTGCTTTCAATTTTTAAATTTTGTATATACAAGTATAATCTAAAAATTATTTAATTTTTTAGCGTTATAATTATTTTGATTACACAAGGAGCATGTTGACGAGCTCATAAGAGAAGTTGTTCGAAGCAACGAGCGAAAGAAATCCCGAAGCCATGGGTGGATAAGAATACCATATACCTCGAGGCTATAGGTAGGGAGAAGAAGAAGAAGTTATATGTTGTAGGCACACAAGAGTCGCATTATCTTTTTTAATCGAGTGGCGCTAGCTCATCCTCTCGTGTCATTGTAGTATATCGATAATATTTTTGAGGAGGTTTGAAGGTGATACGAAGAGGTGATAAAATGGATGCGATCCAAACAAGATAAGCTACATAACATCATCACGCAGACAACGAGTACCGTACGGGGCTACGGCCTCGGTATGATTCGCTTGCCTCGATGTTGCATAGGTCGACGTGGATGTTTGAGTTGCCTACACATTCGCCCCCAGCCAGGACTCCAACATCCCTCCCACTCGAACCCCGATAGGAGATTAGATGATCGGGATGACGATTAGGAGTGACATTTTATTTTTTATTTGTTTTTTCTTTTTTTTTCTTACGTATTAACAAATATTTTTTTTGTTAATATTGATATTAAAATTTTAATAAAAAAATTAAAAATTTATAATATATTGTTTGTTCTAATTGTTAGTTATTATTGAGAATATTACAAATTTAAAAAATAATAAAAAATTTATCAACTTTTTAGAATAATAATAATAAAATTAGCGACAGATTAGGTTTAGAATTTTTATTTTTATTTTTATTTTTATTTTTATTTTTTTTATTTTTATTTTTTTACATTTAGTGATGAAAATTATGACAAAATAGTGATAACAAAATTAGCTTCGAATATTAACAATAAAATATTAGTCGTTAATTAGCAATGGATTTAATGATGGAATGGCAACACATTATTTGGTGGGAAGATGACATTTTTGACAACCAACTAGTGACGAAATATAGAGATTTAACAATGAAAAAACCATTGTTAAATTAGCGACGGATATTGTTCGTCCTTCGCTAAGGTTAGTGATGATTTTTTTTTCTATTGTAAATCCGTAACTAAGTGCTTTTAATATTGATGGATTTTTTCGTCGTTAAATGATAGTTTTCTTGTAGTGTTACCATTTTAGCCAATTCTACTAGGGCATCTATTGTACCAATTGTGCTTTGGTACCCCAATTCTAATTTTAGTTAATTATACAACTTAGTCTCTATAGTTTTAGAATTTGACTAATCCTTATAGTCTTAAAAGCTATATTTGTGATCTCGGTTTAATGGCATTTTTTTGCGTACGAACTATTAGCGTTATGTCACATTGAGGTCTATACAATCGATTTGGTCAATTTTGACCTTGAACCGTTATGTTTGAACAAATATTATTCTTCTATTTGATTTGACCGTTATCATTAACCAAAAATCTCCTTTTTGAAGAAAAAATCAAATTTTGATATTTTAAGCTATAAATTTCACATATACTTGTAAAAATTCAATATGCTTTTCAAAATAATTTCAATAATTTTTTTTTATGTCAAGGGGCATTTTTTAAAAAAGTTTTTAAACATTAAAACATTGAAAAAAATAGAAAATAATTTAGAATGATCCCAAAATTTGTTGAGAGGCCTAAAAAAAATAAATATAAATTTATCTATTCGGTTTTAGTATGATTTTCAAAATATTTGAATGGTCTAACTCTTAATGTTTAACCAACCTTAAAATAGGTCAACTTTAAAAGCCACATATGTAATTTTTTTTTTTTGAAAATTACATTAAAATTACCTACGCAAATCATATGACCTTTTTACAGCTTTCAAAAAAAAAAAAAAAAGATAACTCCAGCGTATTTTCTATTTTTTATAATTTATTAAATTTTTATTTTTTAAAAAAATAAAAAAATACTTCCAAATTCAAAATTTTTTGTGAAAGTTAATTGAATTTTAATTAGTTTATATGAAAAACTTTAGTAAGAATTACCAAAAATTGAATTCTTTTAAAGAGATTTTTGGTCACTACTAATGGTCAAATTAAATGAAAGGATGATATACATTCAAAATAAAATAGTTCAAGATTAAATTTGACCAAATTGATAGTATCTGTTTTAATTTACCATAACCCCTAATAATTCATGGGCTAAAAAGTACAATTAAACCATATAATCTCTATGTTTTATAAATTTGATGGTTTTTTTTTCAATTTTTTTATTGAAAAATAAAATAAATTAAGAGAAGAAGAATGGATTGAAAAATTTGATCAAGTATGACAACACTTTTTATTTTAAAGAGAAGAAGATAAGACTATATTAATGAATCAATACAATATTTAATCACTGCTAATATTATATATATATATTAGTTAATTAAATTTAATAAATCTTAAAGGTTGTTTTGGTGGTTAAGGGATATGTTTTTTTTATTTGACTTGTTAGGTTCAAACATTAATGTAAGTATTTAGAATAACTTATTAATTTTTAATGAATGCATAAAGTCGATGTAAGGGATGAAATTGATGCACAATATTCATTTAGTATTGAACTGATCAATAAATAAACTAGAGAAAATTAATTTACTTTTAACTTTTTTCTAGTTAGTTATTTCAAATTTTCTCCAATCTCATCATCAATTAAAAAAAAGAAGTAAATTATAAATCAGTACCTTTAGTTTTCCAAAAAAAAAAAATAGTTCCTTTAATTTTAATAACTAAATAATTAATATATACATTTTTAAATATATTTGTAACTTAATCTTTTCAATTTTTCAATTTATTTTTTTGTTTTAATAAATGAAAAAAGAGAAAAAATGTAAAACTATAAAAAATGGATGAAAAAAATATTTTTAAAAATAAAATAATATTAAATTAATTATAATTAATACGTATCGATGAATTAATTTATTAGTTTTTTAAATAAAATAGACTATTTAATTTGTTTTACAAAGTTAAAAAAATCAATACATAATTTACTAATAAACAGGGAGAGAGAGAGAGAAAAAAAAAATTCAATCTTGCGTGGGACCACACAAGCTTTACCTTCATGGCTACGTCCCGCTTCCCACAGTAGCTCACTAGCTTCCACTTTCTATCTGCATATCACTGTCATACTTAGCAACTTTCCGGTGCATCTCCGATCAGCTGCACCCAACGTCAGAGTTTCCAGCTCTGATTCCAAATCAGTCACAACAACACTTAAAATTTGAAAAGGATAAACCTAGAGATGAGAAAATGATGGAAGGATTGAGATCCAAAATCAGAGTAGCAGTAGTAGTTATAGTATCAGCATGGATCGGATTTCTTGCTCTGTACGGCTTATTAAAGCCGATTTCGAATGGCTGTATAATGACTTACATGTATCCGACATACGTTCCGATTTCTGCAACTGACGGCGTGTCGTCTGCTAAGTATGGATTGTATTTGTACCATGAAGGCTGGAAAAAAATTGATTTCAATCAGCATCTTAAGCAGCTTAGTGGCATTCCTGTTCTTTTTATTCCTGGAAATGGTGGTAGTTACAAACAAGTAAGCTAGCTTTCCTTTTTTATGTATTTCCAGTTTTAGCTTGGTTGTGTTTTAATTGTTTTTCCTTTTTTTCCCCAAGTTCTTAATGGTGAGATCTTGCACCAAGTAATGGGATATAAAGTTGCTCTTTTTTGGTTTTTTAGAAAGTAGCATCTGCTATTCGAATTCAAATTTTTTAGATTAATGGAAATTCTGTGTTCTTGTTATGTCTATGTGATTGATTCTGTTCTGAAACAATATAGATGGGTTTTAAGGATGGTTTTTCACTATCGGATTTAATTTTGGAGACGGTGAAATGGGGATATGGATCTACATTTTTCCTTTTTAAGTTGTTGAAATGGGGTTTTAGTTTTTGCTTAACTTAAATAATGTTAACTACGAATGGGAGAATCTAGTCTAAAATCCGTTTTTGGTCACTGGATGGTAAATTTCCTAGCACGGATTGGGTTCCCACATGCAAAACAAATCTTGAATCTGTTAAATCCTATGCAAATCACAGATTGTAAAAACGGGTTATCAGTTGGTCGATCGGTGTTCTTTATGTTACCTTTCTTTTTGGCAGAAGAAACTGCATATTCTGTAACCTTTTAGAAATGGAATTGGAAAGATCTGACGTTATTATACTGGGCGACACTATATATCTGGTGTAATGAAAATTGTTTGCACTTCAAATTCAAACACTTGAAACATGCTGGTCCTCTTCACAGGTTAGATCCTTGGCTGCAGAATGTGACAGGGCATATCAGGGAGGTCCACTTGAACAGTCATTTTATCAAGAGGCTTCCCTGACTCCTGAGGAGGGAGGGAAAGATATGGATATAGCTGGCTTCCAATTACCCAATCAATATACTAGCAGACTGGATTGGTTTGCTGTAGACCTTGAAGGTGAACATTCTGCAATGGATGGTCGGATACTGGAAGAACACACAGAATATGTTGTTTATGCCATCCATCGGGTATTACTTATTGTGTTTACATTTTGATCTGCAAATAGCATACAAAATTAGTTTAATCATCCAGTTGTTTCTTCTACACAACCCACCGAACTTCCATGAATTCATGCTAGTTATACATTTAAGTTTTCTTTATTGATCTTGAAGGTTTTAGTTTCACAAACTGTTCCTTGTTTAGATTCTCTTTCTTCATCCTTACTTAAGCTTGAACTTCGTCAATCACACCTTTTTTATGTTCTCCTACGACACCCGGCATTCTCATGTTTAGATACTTTAATTCCTCAGTTACTTATTGAGTGGTCGTGCATGCAGATTCTGGACCAGTACAAAGAATCTCGTGCTGCCCGAGAAAGAGAAGGTGCTGCTGCCTATGGTAGTTTGCCAAAAAGTGTCATATTAGTTGGACATTCAATGGGTGGCTTTGTTGCTAGAGCGGCACTCATCCACCCTCGCTTAAGGAAGGCAGCTGTTGAGACTGTTCTTACTCTTTCAACACCACACCAGTGAGCTTCACGGCCTTTTCATTGATGTATCTGTCTGTAATTTCATACATTGATTAGATTTTCACTTAATTCACCTATTTATCCAGATCTCCTCCCATAGCATTGCAGCCATCTCTGGGTCACTATTTTTCTCAGGTAAATGAGGAATGGAGAAAGGGATATGAGGTCCAGACCACTCAGACAGGACATTATGTGTCTGATCCATTACTCTCTCGTGTTGTTGTTGTCTCCATCTCTGGTGGTTATAATGATTATCAGGTATAATTACACTCCCTTTGTTCCTTAGAGTGTTTGGGCTTCTATGTTGGTTTGTCTCAAAATGCATGTCCTGTCAAATAATTAATTGCTCTATTTCCTGCTATACCGTCATTTGAAATTAACTTTAACCCCACTATTCAGTGTTAACAGAATAAATGATATATTTCCTACTATATCTACTTAATTTTCTTAATTTGTGTATTTCCTACTATATCTACTGAATTTTCTTAATTTGTGTGAAGTTACACATAATGTTATATGTGGGATAGAGTATTTATTTTATTTTTTTTAAGGGGGGAGTATTTAATTTGGACAAGGATTGTCAGGTGTTTTTCTTTGAGGGCTTTATCTGTTTTTGCTGATGTTGGTGCAAAAAATTTTATACATCCACTAAACTGAATTATCACATAGCCAGAATAGGTCAAAATTGATGTGAATCTTTCATATTTATGATTATTACTATTCGATCCCATATTCTGCATATAGTACAAGTCCTCAGTAATTCTGCACTGCTTTGGCTAGAGTTAGCCAATGCTCTTTCTTGCTGTAGCTTCTCAGTAATTCTTCACTCTAGTTGGGAAATATTACGGGATTAGACTGTAAAAGGAACATAGTAGCTCAAGATTGACTCGTCTTAGAGCTCGCCTGTGATGGTGAACCAAGCTTTATCAAATTTTTAGGTTTGATTGAAAAGACTAGCGAGCCTGAGCAAAGTACTACTGGGTTCACTTAGTTCATAAAAAGAGTGTACTTTAGTCATTACACAAAAAAAGTCTCTGGGTCGGTCATGGAAGACTATTTACATGTCTCTCTTACTCTACAGAGATTGACACGTGTTGAAAATAAGAACTATAAGATGTGAATTCATGGTAGATATGACAGTTGTCGATTTCAATGTTCAAGCTTTTTACTTATTTTTATTACTCTTTAAGACAAAAAAGCTGCTCCACATCTCTGGGTGACACTTTATTCACTTTCTTATGAGTTATAGATATAGTTTCTTAGTTTTGAAACTCAAGCAAACCGAATTTGTGCTGAAAAGGTTGGACCTTGAAAAGTTATCAAGCTTATTGAGCTGACTCTCAGTTCTACTGCATATCTAATAAGCCATGTTTGAACAAAATGGCCGAGCTTGAGCTGAGTTCAACCAGGGTTTTGATATTACCAAGCTGAGTTTGAGCATTTGTATACTTTGGCTTGGTTTCACCTCTATGTTGGATTTGGCTTGGTTTCACCTCTATGTTGGATTGGCTCTTCATATGGAATCAGAAAATTGTTTTTCATTGTTATGTTTTCTGATAAATTTTTGTAACATCAAACAAGAATATGATTGAAAATAGTTGAAAGTTTTTTGGAGAGAAATATATTTTTTATTATACTTGTACATTCGGGTATGACTATACATATTTATAGGCGAGAGATCTTTTCCTAATCTGCTTCTTTAGGAAAAAACCATATAAATCCCTAAATTATAGTGACGGCTAATATTTAGGAAATTGACCCCAAATACTTAGGAGACTAATGATCTACTTCCTAAAATAGAATGATTTCTAGAATAGGCTAACCATACAAGATCTTTCTACACTCCCCCTCAAGCTGGAACGTATATGTTAATCATTCCCAACTTGCTTACTAAATCTTCAAAGCTTGGTTTATGCAAGCTTTTAGTTAGAATATCAGCTGTCTGAATTTTAGTAGGGATATAAACCATGCACACACTTCCATTGTCAATCTTCTCCTTGATGAAGTGTCGATCAACTTCTACTTGTTTTGTTCGATCGTGATGGACGGGATTTTGAGCTATACACACTTGTTGCCTTGTTGTCACAATACAACTTCATGGGAAAGCTATTAGATATCTTCGGTTCACTAAGTAATCTCCCTAGCCATATTCCTTCACAAATACCTTGAGCTAAAGCCCGAAACTCAGCTTCGCATTGCTTCTAGCAACTAAAGGTTGCTTCTTACTCCTCTAAGTTACAAGATTATCCCGGACATATTTGCAATAACCCGAAGCCGACCTTCATCCAAGGGAGAACTTGCCCGGTTGCATCGGTATAAACTTCTATCATTCTATGTTTACCTTTCTTAAAGAATAAACCCCTACGAGGAGTATTCTTTAAATACCTCAAAATTCTATAGGCTGCATTAAGTTGTGTGTCCTTAGGTGAATGCATAAACCGACTAATCACACTTACTTGGAAAGGCGAGTGTTTGGTCTTGTGTGTGACAAGTAAATCAGCTTCCCTACAAGCCTTTGATACTCGTTCCCGATCAACCTCTCTACCTCCGTTAATATCTAACTTAGTATTTCGATTCATAGGTGTCTCAAGTGGTGCCGCAACCTAACATACCTCTATCTTGAAGTGGATCAAGTACATACTTTTGTTGTATAACTATAATCCTTGATTTGCTTCTAGCAACTTCCATACCAAGGAAGTACCTTAGAGCCCCCAAGTCTTTCAATTCAAACACTCTTGCTAGGTACTTCTTTAAAGAAGTCAATTCTATATGATCATCTCCTCTTAGGATAATGTCATCTACATATACTATAAGAATGACTATCTTTCCATCTTTAGAGTGCTTGTAAAACAATGTGTGATCGGATTGTGCTTGAGTAAAACCCCTACTCTTGATAACTTGAGTAAATTTTCCAAATCACTCGGTAGGAGATTGTTTCAACCCATAAAGAGATTTTTTCAATCTACACACCAGAGTTATCCTTTCTCTCAAATCCAAGAGGTGCATCCATATAGACTTCCTCATGTAGGTCACCATTTAGAAATGCATTCTTTACATCCAATTGTTGTAGTGGCCAATCAAGATTAGAGGCTAAGGAGAGAAGAACTCTTATTGTATTTAGCTTAGCCACTGGAGCAAAGGTCTCTTGATAGTCAATTCCATATGTCCGAGTAAAGCCTTTAGCCACAAGCCTAGCTTTGTATCGACCGATACTACCATCAACATTGAACTTTATTGTAAAGACCCACTTACAACCCACTTGTTTTCTTCCCTTCGGGGAGTTTTGTAATCTCCCATGTGCCACTTTTGTTCAAGGCACCTATTTCTTCTTGAACAGTTGCTTTCCACTTCGGGTCAGCAAGTGCTTCTTGTATATTTTTTGGTATCTACTGTTCTGGACAGTAAAGTAGTGAAAGCATGAAATTCGGGGGACAACCTTTCATAAGAGACAAACCTGGATATAGGATGCTGGGTACAAGACCTGGTTCCTTTTCTATGAGCAATTGGAATATCCAGGTCTAAAGTGTGGTTTTGAAGCTCAATATCATGCTGAATGGGTTCACTAGTACCTTCGACAGCAGGACTCGGATTCTGGTCAGACTTTTGACCATGCTGAGTTTCGGGGTTCTCCCCTTTTGAGAATGTTTCCTACGTGAATAAACAAGCAATTGTGGCTGGGAGTTATCTCCCCTTGTTTCCAATGTTTCCCTGTGTGTATTGAGTGGTACAATAGGTTGAAATTTAATATTAGGAATTGGGGTTGGAATGGAAGAGGGAGACAGGGATAAGGATTCTGTTTCAGGTATTTCCCATGACTTATCTTCTCCTGAAATCCCCCTTTGAAGATAAGTATTCTGGAAAAAAGATTGAGACTCAAGAAAGGAGACATCCATGGACACAAAAACGCGATGAAGTGATGAAGAATAACATTTGTACCCATGTTGAGTGGGAGAATATCCAATAAAGACACATTTGACGGATTTTAGGTCTAGTTTAGAACGATTTTGGACGTGTACAAAAGCTGTACAACCGAAAGTCTTAGGTGGTATGGAGGAAATAGAATGAAAGGTTGGGTAAGTTTTTAGCAAAGTTGACAATGGGGAGTCAAATTTAAGAAATTGAGAGGGCATTCTATTTATGAGGTAAGAGGCTGTTAGAAAAGCTTCTCCCTAAAGATATTTTGGGACATGCATGGTAAACATTAAGGCTCAAGCAACTTCAAGAAGGTGATGATTTTTTCTTTTTGCCACATCATTCTGCTGAGGTGTGTACGGACGTGAACTTTGATGGATTATTTCATTAGTTTCAAGGCAGTGTCCAAGAATTGCATTAAAATATTCCTTTCCATTGTCGAGTTCTTAATGTTTGGATAGAGGTGTGAAATTGAGTTTTTATCATTGAATGGAAAGTTTGAAATGTTTTTGTAGTCTCGGATTTTTCTTTAAGTAGATAAACCCAACAAACTTGAGTATGGTCATCAATAAAGGTGATGAACCACCGTGTACCGAGGTATTTTTTACATTAGAGGGTCCCCATATGTCACTATGAATTAAGAACAATGGACAAGACTCTTGGTATGGTTGGATTGGGAAGGATGTATATGTTTAGCAAGATGACAAATTTCACAAGCTGAAAGAACTAGGATTTTTATTTATAAATAAACTTGAAAACAAATGTTTAAGTTAATGAAAGTTTGGATGTCCTAACCTACGGTGTCACAACATTATTGCATTATTATTGATAGCGAAGTAGAGTCACTGCGAACCACGGTAGCTTGCTTAGTCATGTATTTGTCATCCTCAAAATAGTAGAGTCCACCTTCTTCTTTAGCATTGCCAATCATCCTCCTTAATTCCAAGTCCTGCGGTATACAAGGGTTGCCAAAAAAGATAGCAATACGAGTTAAGCTCACTTGGTAATCTTGCTAATAGAGATGAAGTTACAAGCAAGGTTTGGTACATAAAGGATAGGACTCAAAGAAATCTCCTTTAAGAGATGGATTAAGCCTTTTCCAATGACGGGAGAAAAGGTGTCATCTGCTACTTTAACTTTTAAATTCCCGTAACAAGGAGTATAGGTTGAAAATAGAGACAAGTTGCCTATCATATGGTCGGATGCCCCGAGTCAAGTATCCAAGTATTTGTATTTTTTGCATGAAGAGTTGTACCTTTATGGGCGGAACCATTAACAATTGTATTACTCAATGTTGATTGACCCAAAAAATTTTGCAAGCTGTTCTAGTTGAGACTTGTTTAGGAATACACCATTTGACTCATTGCTAGAACTGATTTTCTTAGTTTTCTCCTCTACTGTTACTTGAAAACCCTTTTTGTTTGTTCCTTGAGGCTTCCAATTCATTGGTTTTCCATGGATATCCCAACAAGTATCACGGGTATGACCAGCTATGTTGCGGTGGTTGCACCAAGGACGCCCTCTTTGATTATTCTGATTATTTTTTTGATCTCCACCAAATCTGTTATAGGAATTGCGTACATCAAGAGCTGCTGTATCGAGTCAACCTTTCTCCGGTCAAGTCGGACATGGAGTCCCTTTTTCCACCAAGCATAACACTTCTCCTATCGGCTTCTCGTCTTACTTCGCAAATGCTTCATCAATAGAGGGCAATGGTCTATGCCCTAGTATCCTTCCTCGCACCTTATCGAGCTCCTGTGTAAGGCCAGTCAAGAATTCATACAGCCTTTTCTTCTCTAAATGCCTTTTGAACTTCAGATTGCCTTCAAGATCTCTCCAATCAGCTTCATAATGCATATCCAGCTCACACCAAAGTATTTGTAACTCATTATAATACTCGGTTACATCCATACTACTTTGTCGTATTTCCTTTAGTTGAGTTTTAATTTCAAAAACTTGAGATGTATTTTCGAGGTCGAGTAGTTCATAATGACAACATCCCAAATTGCTTTGGTAGTTCGGAGAAATAGGTAGATGCGACCGATGTGAGGTTCCATTGAGTTGATCAGCCATGCCATGACTAATGAGTTATTGAGTTCCCAATTAGCATAGGCTGGTTTCCCTATGTTGGGTTGCTAAGTCTCTCAAGTGATGTATCCCAACTTTCCTCTCCCTCGGATAACCATGAGAACCGGTCGAGACCATTGAAGAAAGTTCTTACCATCCAATCTATGGTTGGTTATTTGCGGTGACGATCCTTCAAAGGACTACAACACCACCGATGAATGAGTGGATTCAGATGTGGTGTTTGAGGAACGCTTGAAGTCTCCTTTCTCGAACTCATTGTTTAGTGGCTTCAAGGACTGGACATTAGGATAGATCCGTTAGGATTAGGCAAGAGACGAGTTGGCTGGACAACAAATAGCCGAATAAGAGAACTAGGCTTTGATACCATGAAAGTTTCTAGGAGAGAAATATTTTTTATTATACTTGTACATTGAGGTAAGACTATAAATATTTATAGGCGAGAGATCTTTTCCTAATCTGCTTCTTTAGGAAAAAATATATAAATCCCTAAATTATAGTGACATACTATTTAGGAAATTGACCCCAAATGCTTAGGAGACTAATGATCTACTTCCTAAAATAGAATGATTTCCAGAATAGGCTAACCATACAAGATCTTTCTACAATAGTTATAAAATTCAATTTGCAGTAAATATTTAAAACCAAATCATTTCTTCACCTTGGTTTATTAATCATTTGGGATCACTTATCTACAGGGTTAATGATCCGAAACGGCACATACTACTAGCAATTCCTTAATCAGGTCCCTGTATCAACTCAAGTGTTAGTTAGGTCCCTGTACTGAATCAGTTCGCTTAATGTTAGCCATCTGTTAGTGATTTCACTAATGACGTTAAGTTAAATGCATAATCTAGTGACACGTGTTGTTTGACTCATACATTTTCTTCCCATTTTTTTTAGAAACTATTTATTGAAATAATAAAAAGAATTTTTAAAAAAGGATAGGTAGTTGAAAAGTCTCTATATATATCAATTTGTCGAATTAAAACCTGTAATATTTCAATTGAAACCCAAAAACCTAGGTGAATTGAAAACCCAATAACCTAATAAAAGAATGTCGTCATCAAGTTGGATTTCATCATCTTAAAGATGCCTCAATGTGCTCTCCCTCTTTGGTTGGCAAAAACCCTTTCTGGGATTATGAACCACTGGTCAAGTTATGCAGATTGGTGAAAAACCCCAATGTGGACATCTTGGATGGATGAGCACCCCAGGATGAGGTTTCATGTTTGCCCTAAACCCAAAGAACATTATTAGAAGCGTGAGGGACAGAAGAAGAGATTATCATCAAAGATGTATGAGATTGAATGCAGAGAATGAAAATTTGGTGATTCAACTTGAAGAAATTTGAGCTCAGAAAGTTGAGTTGGAGCATTGTATTTTCAGTATTGAAATTGCAAAAGGTTAATGATGCTTCAAAATGGCAGCTAGAGAAGGAGAAATTGATGTAAAATATTGTAGGTTTAAGGGCCAAAAATATGAAAATTTGGATGGCTGTTATGTTAATGGGCTTGATTTTATCATGCTTGATATTGAATTGATTTTATTGGTGGGTTAATGGTGGATATGATATTGTAAGTTGCATTTTGGGTTTTTGTCATGGTTTCTGGGTTTCTATTGTTGTGGTTTTAGGTTTGATTGTGTACTTTTGTTAACTTCTTGTTGTAATATACTACTTGTAATGAATGAAAATTTATACGCTTGCAACATTGCTTTCTTGAGTTGGAATAGGTGTTTGTCCCCCTAGATTTCTGGCCTTCTTTTTACTATGACCTTGTGATTGCTCTAAATCTGATTCTGAATTCTTTCGTTTTTTGGACATTTAACAATCTTCTAATTATAGCCAGCCTGTAAACGATAACAGATTTTGCATCACAGCATATCATAATATTTTTTAAACTACAGCACACTTATAAAAATTGATAAAAATACACTCACCCTTTTGATCATTAGCCCAGTGTCAATGTTAACATAACAACCATGACCATAAGATGGTCCTTAATTACCCCTTCCTCTGCTGCTGCCTCTTCCCAATAATCATTATGCACTCAAGTCCTTCAGCAGCATTTCCAGCACCTTTGGCCCTATCCTTGGTACAACCTCTTCCTCTTGAACTGCCAGTACCCTTACCACTACTCTACTAGCACCTCTTCCCTTTGAATTCACATTACTCCTACCAGATCCAACATTGGATCCCCCACCAACATCAACATTCTCAACACCAGAATTGCCAGCTGTAGCTCCCACACCCTTGCCCCTGCCCATTTGTCTGCCCTACCTCTTCCTCTCCCAGATTCTTGGACATTTGCACTATCTTGATTTTGATAAGTAACAACAGGATCTTCATGTACACCTTTAGTTGGAGGCATACTCTGAGATTGATGTTTATCTCTTTCTATACTCTCCCAAGTATTCCATCCAGACAAAGTTGCAACCCCCTACAAAAACATCAAATTAGACCTTACTATAATTATGTGTTATGCAAAATTTAAATATAAGAAGTAAAGTTTAAATACTCACATTGTCTTCTCTATTTTTATTTTGTGGACAATATCTTTTGTTATGCCTCTTTTATGGCAATTCTTGCAAATCATTTTTCTACCAACCCTTAAAAGCTTAGTTCCTTGTGGTTGTTCTCAATCTTCTCTGAATCTCTAAATTTTGGGTCTTCCCCTTTTTTTTTTTTTTTTTTTTGTGCGTGGCATAATTGGGTGGATAAACTGGACCAACTTCAGTATTAGACCAAAAAACTTGGATCCATTAACTGGTTGGAGACACCACTTTTAGGTTGCTTCAAAAGTAGCATTCTTGTAGCACTTATGCAGATGATCTTCAAAATTCATTCCTTTTTTTTAAAAAAAAAAAAAAAGAAAAACTTTTATGACAGTAATTGCATGACCACAAGGAATGCTATTAAGATCCCATTTCCTATAGGTGCATCTCTTTTTCTCTAGATTCACAATATATGTGTCATCCCCAAGTTCAACCTCATATCCCTCATCTCCATTCCATCTGACTCTATAAAACCTTAATAAATCAATCTCATCTTCAATCTTTTTTCCCATATCCTTGGCCTATAATCTCTTTTGAACTGTGACACAAGATCTCCTTTCAATTATCCTTTGCATTGCAAGCTTTCTAATGATTTCCAACAATGAAACAATGCTCTTGAATCTAGCCTCTACTATGAAGCCATTGAAACTCTCACACATTATTGTCAATACTGTCCGATTTGCAATGGGTTGATTGAAAGGCTCCACACCAGAACCCAGGATCCGTTGTCAGAAGTCTTTCTTTGCTTTCTCAAGTAGCTTTTCTAACTGTTCCTCAAAGTCTTGAGAATTTGTAGCTTTGCATGTTGCCCAGAACTGCTTTTGTAGCTCAGAACCCTTATGAGTTTTTCTCCATTTCCCAAAGATGTGCCTAGCACATCTCCTATGCTTAGCATAGGGCATCAACTCACCAATTGCAGAAATTAGACCCCATCACAAAATGAAAAACACAAAAGAGGAATGGAATATAACATTTGCTTTTCATATAATACCACAAATATAAAAATAAATAAACTAACCTTCTGTTAGTCACAAACAAAAGTCCATTCAACACCAATCTAGTGATTTTCAGATCCTGCATTAGAAGTAGAAGAACCACTTCCAATTGTCTTTATTTTTCTTTCACAACTGCCCATGCTAAGTGATACATCTGATTGTTTGCATCCCTTGCAATGACATATACAATCTTCTCTTTTTGACCCTTAAGAAAACAAACCATCCAGACCAACTATTGGTCTGCATTCAGCCTTGAGCCACCTCACCATAGCATTAAAACATAGAAACATCTTTTTGAAATGGCCATTCTCATCAACTTCCCACTCCACAGTGCTTCCTTTATTGCTTCTTCTAAGTTCAGCGCAGTAATCTTCCAATCTTTCAATCTCTTTTGCAGCATCACCTTGCAAAGAAATGGGAAGAAAAGGCAACTAACAGGGTCAACAAGTCAAACAACATATGTCGCGAGATTATGCATTTAACTTAACGCTGTTAGCAAAATCACTGACGGAGGGCTGACATTGAACAAATTTATTCAGGACATGGAGCTAAGTTAGTATAGGGACCTGATTAAGCAATTGCTAGTAGTACACGGACATTCTGTATCGTGAACCCCTTATCTACAGGGTTGGTTAGATGTTGCTAGCAAAACAGAGCTGGTTAGTGAAGTCCTCCATGCTTACTGATGTATAATTGATTATCTGTTGTGAAAAGTCACTCAAAAGATTGTAAGATAGTTATTAACCTTTTTCCTTGCTTCATAACATAGACGCTAATATAGTTAAGGAGCATCATGTCCATATAGCATGATTGTAAATGAATTGTACCTGTTGGCATATGCAAGTTATGATTTGTGAGATGATAGTGTGTAGAGCACACTATTTTGGTGGATAGTGAGAGACTCCATACCCAAGGGAAAAGAAAAAACATAGGGATGATCAACTTACTGGTGTATAATTGAGTATCTGTTGTGAAAAGTCACACAAAAGATTGTAAGATAGTTATTAACCTTTTTTTCTTGCTTCATAACATAGACACTAATATAGTCAAGGAGCATCCATATAGCATGATTGTAAATGAATTGTACCTGTTGGCATATGTGAGTTATGATTTGTGAGATGATAGTGTATAGAGCACACTATTTTGGTGGATAATGAGATACTCCATACCAAGGGAAAATAAAAAACATAGGGAAACATCACCATCAATTTTATGCTGTTCTACTTCTCTCATGATCGTATGTGCTAGTTCACTCAGTCGATGCTTTTCTATTCTTTCTCTGATATAGTTGTCAACCTTTGCACCTGAGAAAATTGATACTCTGATCAACTTTTTTATGACATGCAGTATATCAATCACTTGCATTGGACACAATTTTTACTTCTTTTTTTTTTTTTTCTCATCATATGGTAAATTTTTTACATTTTGACTTTCAGGTAAGGTCAAAGTTAGAATCCCTGGATGGTATTGTGCCACCTTCCAATGGCTTTCTGATAAGTAGTACAGGCATGAAAAATGTTTGGTTGTCAATGGAACATCAGGCTATTTTGTGGTGTAACCAGCTAGTTGTGCAAGTAAGTGTATTGTCTCTTCTAGAACACATGCGTACTTATACCACTAATAGTGCTGACATTTACATGTTCTACATAGGTGTCACATACTCTCCTTAGTCTGATAGACTCCAAAACAGGCCAGCCATTTCCTGAAGCTAATAAGAGACTTGCAGTATTTGCAAGTATGCTTCGTAGTGGGATACCACAGAGTTTCAACTGGATGTCATCCCATAGATCAACATATATTGCTTTTAAGGATGTGAAAGATGCAGCTGGTATTGTCTATCTTCCACTATATCTTTATATCAACTGATTTCCATTGACGTTTTAGAATTTCTGTAAGAAAGCTTGCTGAAGAAAAATAAATGGTGTTTTATGAATTACTTTCTAACCTTGTGAAATCAGGTAGGTCCTATATATGTGTTTGTGTGTGTGTGTATGTACACGACCTACCTGATTTCACAAGGTTAGAGAGTAGTTCATAAAACACACCAGCGAAAAATTAGATGGATTAAAATGTTCTGTTTTTCCCCCCTGATCACTGAGATGATAAAGAATTAACTAAGAGAAATTTGATTGCAAATATCTTAGCAACGAAGACAAGTGAATGATTAATTAAATACGAAATGAAACTTATTACAAAAAGAAAGGAAAAAAGAAGCCTTGCAAGGTCAATAGTTAGATTTATGCCTGTTGTTAGTACTGTAGTAAAGGGAGATGACATCACATCCACATTATGCTGTCATCAACCCATCACAGCCACCTTTAAATCTACCCTACTGATGCCTTCTTTTGTAAGTGGTTGTGCTTTGCTTTCTTTTTTCCTTATACCATGTTAGAGGTGGTGCTTTTCACTGGGATTACTAACCAAGCTGCTGAGTTTGGGGAAATTAAAGGAGGGGTGCCATCTTTGTAATAGGTTTTCAAAGGGCAAGGAAAAAAGAAAGGAAAAACTTAATTAAACTAGCCTTACGTTTTGCAAATGAATTCCATAAGTGTGATTTGGATAACCTGTTACATCTTTGGGGTTTCTTCCATGTTGATTGAACACTGGATGGCAGTCAAGCAGTTTAAAAATTGGCTCATCTATGAAATACAGCTGGAAAACAGAAGAGTAGCATGAGAACAATGAGAGTGTGCTAGGTTTTGGGATTATAGCTGGCAGGACTCTTTGTTAGGTTGCATAATGTGGATAATAAAGTTCATCTTACAACTTTAATACCTTATTTTCAAACTGTCATTGCTTTATTACCTTGACGAATTATGAATTTGAAGCGACACTATCCATGTTGATATTCATTATATTTGCAGGTTCTCAAGTGCATACTTTGTCTAGTTGCCCTAACAATGTTCACTGGAATGATGATGGCTTTGATAGAGATTTATATATCCAGGCAACTACCATGACTGTTTTGGCAATGGATGGGAGGAGACGGTGGTTGGATATACTGAAATTGGTAGCTTCGTTAAAGCTTCTCATTTGTAGTTCTAAAAAGTTTTAATTTATATTTTTCTCTTCAACCTTATTCATACATGTAATTGTTTTGATTGCTGATTCTCAAGACTTAATTTCACCTTTACCTTCCATTTTAAGCCTCCCACTTCCAGCAAGGTTTTCATGTTGGCGCCTTGTCTCATTTTTTCCTTTCATTTTTATTCTCATTTAAATCTGGTATGTAAATGAGCTTCAATACGTGTCCAACTTAACTGCTATGGAATTTGATAAATAATCTACAATTCTAGGGTTTGTAGTTTGAGCTTCTGAATTTCTGCAGTTAATGATTGGTCTGTGTTTTTTAAATACTTAATGTTTTGTTTCTGATAGTCCACACTAAAAAAAATGTAGAGTTACTTATTTGTAATCTATATGGATAGGGGTCAGATGGAAAAGGACACTTCATGTTTGTAACAAATCTCGCTCCATGTTTTGGGGTTAGACTTCATTTATGGCCTGAAAAGGGGAAATCTGCTTCAGAAATGGCTGCAAGTAAAAGGGTTCTAGAGGTGACAGCAAAATTGGTGCAGATTCCATCAGGACCGGCACCAAGACAGGTATTAAATATGTTTATTGCATTCTTTTATGTAAATTTACATTAATTATGTTTGGTGCTGCCTGTCATTTCTATTTCTCTCCATGCCTTGTATCTTGTATTAGGGAAATTTATGATATGTTATGAGATCTAGTTTCTCTTTAGAGACTAGCTGCACTAAAAGTTCTTAAGTTTGTGATAGACTTGCTCTTAATTCTGAAAGTGCTGTTTGTTTATCAGATTGAACCTGGCAGTCAGACTGAGCAAGCACCTCCATCTGCTGTACTCTGGTTGAGTCCTGAAGATATGCGTGGTTTCAGATTCTTGACTGTCTCAGTTGCTCCTCGTCCGGTATTTTTGGCCATCATTTTTGCTCAGTTTTCTTCCTTTTCCATGGATATTTTCTGCATCAAATGAGTCTATTTTTTTTTTCCCACTTCTTCGAAGTTTTATTCCTCACATAGATTAATCTTTAGGAGCATGTGTTCGACATCTATGCCCTGCCCTATTTTGTCAAATTAGTGATAATATCTATAAACATAAAATCTGGAGGAAGGAAAACAACTTTGGGCTGCAACTAAACCAAGCTGTTCACAAAAGGTCAGGCTTTGACCGTAACAGGGTTGTAAAAAAGCCGGCCACTTCAGCAGAAGAGTGATTGTGGATGGCTTGTCAAATAAATATGTAAATTAATAATAGTTTCATCTACTATTGTGTGTGATACAACAAGAACAACAACAACCAAGCCTCAATCCCGAACTAGTTGGAGCTGGCTATATGGATCCTTTAGCATTTCCATGTGATCATATATCAAATTTGCCTCAATATTCGGAGATTTTAAATCCTCCAATACCACTTACATTCATGTTAACTTAGGTCTCCCTCTTTCCTTTTTCTCCCTACTAACGACTACTTATCATTTCTTCTAACCATGGCCTCTCGTGTCCTACTATTTTGTCTCCCTCCTGTTTCTTTATCCATACACGATCTCTTCCAAGTTAATAGTGGTAACCTAAAATTTCTTTAATTTATTGACACCAATAATGGTTCAACTAATATGTAAATCACATGCTTTGATTTTTTGCAATTCTGAGTATAATCTCCATCAGTAATTCAATAATCATTGCTACTAGGGTTGTTTATATTAGCCTTTTCTCTTCTCTGCTTTCTTTTGAATGGTGCTTCTATGCTCTTGTTGATTGATACTTTGAAATGGTGGTGATTGATGTGATAAATTCTGATGGTCAGACTATTTCAGGCAGACCTCCACCGGCAGCTTCCATGGCAGTTGGTCAGTTCTTTAACCCAGATGATGGAAAGAGAGAATTATCTACTCAATTTATGCTTCTATCTACCCGTTCTCAGAAGGTCAACGTTTTCTTGAAATAGCTGTATACTTTTTAGGGTTCTAAGACATTGAATCTTAAAATAATGGGTTAATTAAATTATGCTTTTCCAGACAACTGACCTTGAGAGTTTCATAACTTTTATTTGTGCAGGAATTACTTCTGAAGGAGGATCATCCCCTAGCTCTCAATTTATCTTTCACTGTTAGCTTAGGCCTTTTGCCCATTTCTTTATCTTTGACAACAACAGGGTGTGGAATACAAAGGTCTGGCCTTCTTGCAGAAGAGGTTGAAGACATGGACAACAGTAGTAAGGAATTTAATTATTCTAGTGGCCAATTGTTTTAATGTCTACATGTAATCGTCTTATTCTCAAGCATGCATAATTGCTACAAGTCTTTCTGAGGTGTTCTATCAGATATCATGGATTTCCACACTGCTTCATTTTCACAACTCAAATTAGTTTCAGTGATGGATTTATCAATACTGCAATTTGAACAATACAACGAATTGCTGAACACTTGCAAACTCATTCCTGGCACTTTTTCAGTAATTTGGGTTTTGACTTGGATACAAATCCTTTTGGTTATATGCTTTAAATCCCTAGATGGCCATCATTTGTCACATATCTTGTGGATTTATTTATGATTGAAGGTTCGGCTATATATGTTTCATTTGCCCACTAAGTTAGCTTTCCCGGTATTCAGGGCTTTGTAAACTGCGATGTTTCCCACCGGTAGCGCTTGCTTGGGATCCTACATCAGGTCTTCACATTTTTCCAAATTTGTTCAGTGAAACTATCATGGTCGATTCCTCACCTGCCCTATGGAGTTCTACCCAGGGGTCTGAAAAAACCACCATTATGTTACTGGTATGGTGGCATTTACATATGTGCGTGTACTCTTATGATGATGCGTACATGTGTACTATTGTACTGTAGATATATATAGGTTATGTTTTTGCTTTAATTGTTAACTAGTAGAGGTCTTTATCTCTGTATGCTTCTACAGGTTGATCCTCATTGTTCGTACAAAGCAAGCATAGCTGTTTCTGAAACTGCAGCTGCTAGCAGATTTTTGCTTTTGTATAGTTCACAGGTGATTCTAGAGCCTCCTCCTGTGAAGTTTCTGCATAATATCAGCATTTTTTACTTTAAATGTTAATTTTCGAAAATGCCTTTGTTTTCTTGCATTTTCTTCGTGCAACATGCTTTATTTTTATTGCTTCTCTTTGAAACATGTCATTTAAAAGCAATTCCTTGAGCATGCAATTGTGGTTAGATATTGGTTGGGCCTTTTCGTATGATTTAACTACATGAAGAGTTAAAGGAATAATAAAACGAAAATTCAGACCTAAGTTTAATTAGGAGGAGGATATGGTTTAATGTTGACAATCTTGTAATTTTGCAATGTTGTTGTGCTACCTTTTGCTTTAAAACGCAAGGTCAGAAGAATGGCAGTTGCAGGATTTATGTGGAATGCAAACAGGCAGAAAGAATTACTTTTGACAGTCATCCAAGGGTCCTTAAGATGGGAATACCTAACCATGATAAACACCTAAATTGGATTGAACTCATTACTGAAGGATGCTTTCGATGGATAGACTAAAAATTTTTCCTTTTTGGTTAATTTATCCACCTAGATGCATATACTAAAAATACATCGAGCCATTACATATCTGGGATTATGTCTCGTTGGTGTCATGCTTACTCGTTGAAGTCATGCTTACGTTGGGTTATTTGTTCTGAAGAAAGAAAGAAAGAAAGTAGTAATTTGTCAGATCAGATGCTCCAAGAAATGGAAATGGCTTAATGCTTTTATAGTGACATGCTTATATTAATGATTCTTAATGATACTTCTTGGGTAAACAATGTTATATCATGTCATGAAATTTCTCTCATGCAGATAGTTGGTTTCTCCATTGCTATTATCTTTTTTGCTCTGATGCGACAAGCACATGCCTGGGATCTTGATCTGCCCATACCGTCAATGCTGGTGGCTGTTGAGTCCAATTTGAGAATTCCATGGCCATTTTTGCTTCTAGGCTTTGTACCCATTTTGTTTTCTTTGTTCGTTTCGTTGCTAACGTCTCAACCATTCCCACCATTGGCAAGCTTCGCCTTTGTATCAATGATGTGCTATGTATTTGCAAACGGATCTGTAATTCTACTAGTATTGGTTTCGCAATTGGTGTTCTATGGTGTTGCAATCATACATGTTTTCATCAAGTCAAGGTTGGTATGTTTGTCCTCAATTTGCTTCATACTATGTACATATATATGGCATGTTTACCAATGTTTCTACTCTCTTAGACAAAGAACCCCCAGGGGAAGATGGGGCAATGTACAGGGGAGAGAATGAAAACTAAAGAAAATTTCTGTTTTTATCATGCCATAACTGATTAGTTGTTATTTTGCTTAAATAAAGCAAGAGGGTTTCTATCTCTTCTCATGTGCATATAGAAAAATTTTGAAGTGATTTTCATATTAGAGAATATTATATGCCTGCAATTAACTTTTGCGCAATTAAATTTTTGACCATCACTGTCCACAAACTTTTACCCTGGAGGTGCACTAGCCTTTCCCTGAAGATTATTAGAGGAAACAGATAATCATGGAATGCACACAGGATCTAAGATGGGATTCATTTTCTTTTCTTTTCATTTTTTCCCCCATTTTACCATAGCATAATGAAGTGCCTTCTTTCTTTCGTGTACCTCAGATGAGTTATCCATTTGGTATTAATATGTTAAAGTATCACATTTGATGCTGAAGACCAAGAGTTTATATGTTGCAGGTGGCAAGAGTGCGAAGGAAATTTTTGCTTAGTATTTCTTCATTGGTTTATTAATTTATCCTCTGGCTCCTTTTCATTAAAGGTAAGGTACTCTGGCATAAATCTTTGTTTAATCTCTGGGTTCTATGTACCTGTCTTGAGTGTTTTCATGAATTAATTTTTGAATGGCAGTAGTTGGCTACATAACAAGTGTTTGAGTAGTCCTCTGTACTGGAAGCGCTCCATTTTAGTACAAAAAAGCCTGTAGAAATTTGTTCAGTGGTCCTTTTATGCTAATATTTCTTTATTCTCTTGCGGGGTATATTTATTTCCTTTTATAAAATTTATGGGCACAGGTTATGCTTCAGCTTTTTCTCTTGATTTAACTTGTTCATTAAAGCAGGTTGTGAGGGTTCTTAGAGTCAATCAATTACTTGTTGCTGCACTGACTGGTATTATCTTGGGGTGCTTTGTCCACCCAGCTCTGGGTTTATTCATATTGCTCTTGTCTCATGCTTTGTGCTGTCATAATGCATTGTGCAGGTACTTTTCAAGTCTGAATTCCTTGTACATACCATTTTTGTGCATTCTCTTCATTTTCAGAACAAGCGTGATACACGTCCTAAGTTTTCTCCATGTTTGTGTAACAGTTTTTTAACGGCTTCCTTTCGCAGTCATGCACAAACAAAAGAATTGTTTGATTTTAAAGATGATGGAAATGAAAGATCTCAGCAATTTGCATCCAAACATGATGCTGGACTCAACCAGAATTTCCTGCCAGAAGAGAACAGCTCCAGTAGTCCTGACTCTTCAAGGAGTTTTGGGGACACACAATTAGAGATATTTCATCACCGGCATGGTTTATTGATTCTACATCTTCTTGCAACGCTAATGTTTGTCCCCTCTTTTGTGGCTTGGTTGCAGGTATGAATAGTGTGTTCTTTCCTCTACTCGCCTTGAGTACTGAATTTATCACTTTTGCAACAACTTGATAGTTAACCACTATAAGTTGCATCCAAATTTCCAACTTTAGAAACGAATGGTATAATAATTGATCTACTTGAAAAGCTTCTGGCATCACCCATAAAATCCTCCCTCCCTCCCTCCCTCCCTCCCTCTTTAAAATGGAATAAATCTTTGGTCTGCTGCTCAATGGTGTGTTAGATTTGCTTGCTTCTTAGTGAAAAGGAAAATGTGTAATATGCTTTGCATGAATTTTGAATTAGCTTATGGATGTGTAGTTATGAGGTTACTGTTGCACAATATTCAATCTATGTTGTGTGGATGTCTCTTGAGTGTGCTTGCATACTATCGTACCTTATGGAATTCCATCTCTAGTTTACTGGGATGCTAAGGCAGGAGATCCATTGTGTGTGCATTGTGCTCCTTGCACTTCTGGTTGTACATCATCTGTCCTTAATATATGAACTTGTGTGATTACAGAGAATAGGCATGGGTCATAGCTTTCCGTGGTTCCTGGATTCAGTTCTTTGCATTGGCATCATTCTTCATGGTAACTTCAACCCAAAGCCGGAGTTCAACTCCCTGTTTTTGTTCCCAAAAATATTTGGGAAAGAAGTAAGATTGGACTTCATCTACTTGCTTGCTGGCTACTATTCCTATCTCGCTGGCTTGGGCTTGGTGCCATACAGAGTGTTTTATGCCATGGCTACTATAGGGTTCATATCCTGTGCCTTGAGGATCTTATATAGAAGGAGCAGGGAGAAAGGAGAACCACGTTTTGGCAGAAAAAAGCATTCTCATAGACATTGAGGTCGCAATGTATAACAGGCATCAGATTTGTAGAAGACATCTTGTACAAGCATTTGTAATGGGTGAGGTGTATGTCATGAAATGAGCTTTCAGTTTCTGCAGATATGAAGTCTGCAACATTTCAAGGGAAGTGATCCTGCTAACAAGTGAAAGGTAATTCAGAAACAACGAAGAAAATTTTACTTTTGTAACATTATTTAGACGGCCGATTTTTTATGGCTTTGTATTTTTGTATATGAGCATTTTATTTTGAGATCAAAGGGGAGAAGTCATATGCTTTGCAAGTGGAAGAGATTGGTTCTGTACCCCTGGATTCCGATTCTGCAGAAAAGAATGATATGATTGATTGTGCAAAGCATGGTGATCCTCCAAGAGTCTACTTGCTGGAGATTTGGTCTCTTCCATTCTACTTGTGAATTTTTTTTTTTTTTTTGGGTTTACCGTAGTCTGAAATTGCAACAAGCTTGGAAGTCGAATCCTATTTTTTCTATAGATTTTATGGCTAGCCAGTTAGATTCATTAATAACAACCGATGCGGTCTGGGGTTTGAGGGGCGTGTTAGCTAATGATATGGACGACAAATATATCAAGCTGAATGAATGCCATGCTGAAGAGCATAGATTTTCTATGGACAAACCTTAAAAAAGTCCCGATCTATAGAGGCAATCTCGATTAGGTCTTCAATCTATTTTTTCCTCTTCATTAAGTGTGTGTTCGGCTACATGTCGAAAATTAAGTGTAAATTGGATATGAGGTAAATGAAAAGATTGTATTAAAGGAATATCAATAATAAAAACACCATATCATTAGTTCAAAAAAGTAAATGAGTCATTTTATGAAAATGTGATTAATCCCAATCACCCTCTTTGCCTGTTTGGATATCATAGCATTTTGATTGGGAAACAGAAGTGCCAATATTTGTAGGTTCCTCCAGCTTCTTGGATCCATCAACAGCTTGAAGATTCCTGAAGTACCCAGCTTTTCCAAATCCTTGTGGAGGAAAATGTCCCCTTCCCATTTCAGTTGTCGTGAGCTTCCTACCTACTTTTGAGTTTACAGTCTCAGCTCCTCATTCAATATTCATAGGACTGTCATCCGAGTGCGAGAAGACAGAGGCTGGCCAATATCCCTGGACTTCATGTCCAAATTGAAGCCACCGGTTCCCGTTTCTTGGGTCCTATAAACAACATTAATCAATGCACATAGATATCTTACCACAAACAAACATAAGGGAGTCTAGAATAATGAGATTTGCAAAACATAGATATCAGTTAAATTTGGTTACAAAACATTTATGAATATTGAAGAACGGTTTTCCTTATATATAAACTTTTTATACTCTTCGAATTGTTTTGATTAAGACCTTATATTATTTTTTGTATTAATCGAGACTTTTTATTTTTTATTTTGTGTTTGAAATCTTCTATTATAACATCTTTAATTGTTAGCTGACATGATGCATCTATTTTTGAATACATGACACATTTTATATGTAAGATTTTAATTTAAAAAATAAACATGTAAAGACCAAATGGCATAAAATTTAAAAAATAAGAAGCAAAATATTTTTATGAAAATTTTGAGTGCCAAAAATATTAAAAATAAAAAACCAAATTGTACAATAATATTGATTTTAAAGACTAAACAACTTTTTAAAAATTACAAGGACTAAAATGAAATTTTATGAAAAATTATTTTTAGCATGTATCAAATAGTTAATAAATAAGTAGGTATTAAAAAGCAAGAAATTATTAATATTTGATCAATTCAAAATAAAAAATGGGATTGATCTCCGAGGAAAAAAAAAACTCGAAGACCGTACTACATTTTCTTCTTTGATATAGATAATTAGTTATTAATTAGCACTATTGTTGTTTTCATTTTAATTTTGAACAACATATCCGTGCACTTCCTCTTTTATTTTAATTGCATGTTACATTAATTTTGTATACATTTTATTATTTTCAAAATTATATATATATATATATATATATATATATATATATATATATATATAGAAGATTCCTCTTTAGAGTTTTAGTTCGATGGGTTTTCACGTATGATATGTTTTGCGTCATTGAAGATAAGGTCTTAAAAATACAATTACATAACAACAACAACAACAACAACAACAACAATAATTTTGGATCCTTGCAACTTTAGAATTGTTTTGATCGAAATCTCAATTTTTTTTTTTAATTTTTTCATTGATTTTTTCGATTGAGATCTCACATATAAAACATGTCATGTATTCAGAAATAAATATGATCACACACACACACACACATACACATATATATACACACACATTTGAATCATTCTTTTTGTTGGAAATTAACTAAATATTTGCACACATATCATCAATTATTTATTATTTATTCTTTTTCATGTTCTAAAATCAATATTTTTTAAATAAAATAATTGAAATAATTTTTTGAAAGAACCTCTTGATTATTCAAATATAGTTTTTTATGCTAATATATATATATATGGATTTCACTCAATAAATAGATTTGATTTACATTAATTATCAAAAATAAAACTTTTACCTACTTTACACTATATGAATCGTTGATCTGTATGTATATATCAATTCTCCGACCACAATGTAGCACGAGTATCCAACTAGTACTCACTACAAGAAATCCACCAATTAGTGACGAATATTATAGTTGCAAATCCATCGCAATATTAAATTAGAGATGGAATTGCAATGAAATTTTTTTTTTTGTCAAATCGAGTGTCACCAACCCTTGCGACCGATTAAACGGTATCCATCGCTATATTAGCAACATAATATCCATCACTAATATGATTTGTCTATCGCTAACATGATGAGAAGGAAACCTTAAGAAATTTCAGCAAACTATCACAACCTCGAATTTAATCCATTGCTAACTACCAACGAGACAAACCATCGTTGATTTTCAAAGCTAATATCCATTGCTAATCCGTCTATCGCTAAGTAGTCATTATTTTGTGACATATTTTTTTTCCATCATTGTATTTTTGACATTTATTTTTTTTAATTCGTCGCTAATTTGTCTATATTGTTTCGTTAATTCATCGCTATTCATGTTGCTAATTCATAAGGAATATATATTTTTAATTTAATTTTTTATTTAATTTCAAAATTTTTTATATTCTCGGTAGTAACTCATAATTGAAACAAACTTATTATAAAAATTGATCTTTTTTTTATTAAAATTAAAATATTACAAATTAAAATAAATTTTACATTTAAAAAATATTCATTAGTATGTAAGAAAAAGATTAAAAACATAAAAGATAAAGTAAAAATCACTTCATATCATGTAATCTCCTCTCATCTTCCTTGGCCTCAATGGGAGGGAGGTAGAATCCTAGAGCTCACTTGGAAGGGACGGTGTCATCCCGGGTCTTGGTTGGAGGGACGATGTTGCCCCGAGGCTGAATAGGAGGGAGTGTGAAGTCCTTGTTGGTTGAGGGCTTAGTAGGCAAGCGAGTCGGTTATGCCATCCTTTCTAACGTCAATGAAATTGAATCCATCTTAGTCTCCATCGCTTGGATCTTCAGCTATTGTTGTGTGACAATGTTGTTATGCTCTTTAACCTCTCCTACATTGCCCTCATCGTCTTTGTGTATTGAGTTGGAAACTGTTCAGCGAGCATTGGAGCCATGATACTACGATGCTACAAAGGAGTAATTGGTGCTAACCGATTGGGATAAATAGTGGTCTACCTCTTACCCGATCCCGTAAAACCTCTTCTTCTTATCCTTTCTTACAACATCAAGTATATGGCATCCATGTCAACCTATGGCTTCTCGACTCCAACCTCTCATTACTTCCTTACACCTTCTTATATCATCTCATCCACACGCTCATGTATAATAAAAATAATTATAACGTTAATAAAAAATAAAATAAGTTCTTAGATTATATTTTCATATGTATAATATAAAATTAAAAAAAATTACGATTGTAGATTGGGCTCGTAAATCGATAAAATTCTTATCTATTCGCTTATGAGTGACCCAAAATAACTCTAAATTTGTAGGCTAATGCCCCAAATTCCACAACCCGAAAAAAATTGACTTAAATAATATATGAGATGTAAATATTAATTTCTTAAATATTTAATAATATATGATAGGATTTACCAAGCAACGGTTATGCTTAGAAACGAGATATGGACCCTCTTGTATGCCTAGACAATCCTAAACCAAGCACCACTAGTATCCAACATTTGGTTACGTGATATTTGCTACAAATGCTCCCGATGATCAAGCATGGTAAAATCTTGCTTCCATGAATCCTAAACCTCGTTGCCTAACAAAAAAAAAAGGCCTTTCGGTATTCGTATCATGCTTGTGGACAAAGTCGGAATAACGCCTTTTAGCCAAAGCCTCCCAAGCATTTCTAGCTTACGTCTCGATGGTCGGATCCTAGTAAAATTACTTTTATAGAAATAAAAAAAATAATATTAGTTCATTTCATATTAAATTATTATTTTAAATGTAATATAAATAAATAAGCAATACATTACCTTAAATTCGTTATAGTAGAATTGTTTCATCTATTCTAAAAAAGGACTTTCATACTAAACCGTTGATGTCCAACTCGCTTCTTAAAAGTCATAGTCATCCTTTTAGAGAAATCTCTATGACACTCGTATGAAATTGTCAAACATAAAAAAAAAAAAAAACATGTAATAATTATTGAAACGATTTATTCAAATAAAAAATAATAATAAGGTTTGAAGTAAGTTACTTAATGACAATGAACGACCAAAATCGATTATCGGTTATCGAGCCTTAGGAGCTCCCCGAATTGGTAGATACATCCGTAGATAATGGATTCCCTATGGAAGCTTAGGGAAGCTAGACAGTACGCGTGAGCCAAACAAACAATTGTGGATGGAGATGTTGGAACCGAGTGTAGAACTACCGGCTCCGAAGAGGAATAAGTCAAACTTCCCATGTTAGGGGACCTATGAAAAGCACCTAAAGAGAGAGATCCATGGTTGATGTTGGATATAGAACCATATTCGCCGCCATCGGGTTGGGATGCACATCTATAACTACCAAAACGTGATCCTTGAACGAGTGTAGGAGGTTGACGTGAATCACGTGTCATAATTTAATAATATCACCTAAGATAATTAAAAAAATACAAAAAATATATTATCAATTGTGAGCATAAGAAAAAATAAAATTTCAGAAACGTGTATAAAAAATTGAATATTTTCTAATTACTCGATACGCAACCTCGTTTAAAACACAATATAGCCAAAATACACAACCAAGCATTTTAAAAATATATGAAAGTCAATATGATATGTTGCAATAAATAAAACAACAAAAAAAATACATCATTTCGTACTAATATTAATAAAATTAATATTTAATTACAACCATCGTAATCACTATTTAAGTTTTCTTCTCTCTCATCCGACATATATTCATATTCATTATTATCTTCTTTATAAGTCTCAACTAATTCTATGTCTACAAAAAATCCATTTGGATCATTCAACAATAAATCATCACCAACTTCTTGTATCAAATCATGTTGGATTTCTAAATCATCCCGCTGAAATAGTTCAGTATTTTGTTTGACTATTATAGATGATTCGAGCTACTCAAACACAAACATGGCTTTGATCTTACAAATAGCCCACCAATCTCGATTATCTTGCCTCAAACTAAGGTACTTGGTATAATATACCTAAGTTGACTATGATGCTAAGACAAAAGATTCGTAATTTTTCAACCTTTTTCTATAGTTAACATCCATTAATCCGTATTACGGACGAACCTTTATTCCTTGTGGTGTAGGATCAAACCAATCCCATTTGAACAACACCGTTATTTTAAGTGGTAATGCATGATACTTTACTTGTAAAATTTCTATCAATATTCCATAATAGTCACTCTCACTTACATTGTAATTGGTTATTTTAAGGCATACACCACTATTGAAACTCATTGTTTTCGAATCATCATCTACTGTGTGAAATCTATACCCGTTAACAATATAACCCTTGTATGACCTAACCGTACACAAAGGGCCTTGTGCTACATCTTTTATGAACTAGTCTGTCATTAAAATTGCTTATGTATATTTTATCTAAAAATTCGACATAAAATTCGTTAAAGATAAATTACTATTTAATTAATGCTATCTTCCAACAAAACATAAGTTAAACGAGGATACTCACATATTGACTAAATCGGGAGGCAAACTTAGTTTCAAGAAGAGTATTAACCTTTTTTTTTAGGATGAAATAATTGTTTTGTCACACTTCATTAATGACTCCCACACTTAATGTTACGCAATACTTTTTGATGCCTAATATGCACATGAGGCTCAAAATAATACGAACAAAACAAAGAGACTTCTTTGAGAAACTATTCATTATATATTGACCTTTTACTTTAACCTTTTCTTGACATTATTTTTTATCTTGTGAAGGTACCTATAATATAAATTAATTTAATGTTCGATAATTGTAAGTTTATCTAATTTAATATTAAAATTTCATTTCATCACCTTTCAAAAAGATACATCCATCAACATTGCACGAGTTTTAAAATAGATGCCTCATACGTCAAGTGGATTGGAAGATATTTCATTAAGCCAAAAAAGCTAGTAGGGAATATATGTTCTAGTTTACACAAAATGATGGGTATCTCATCATTAAGATGCATCATATCTCATTCTTTTATCATCATAAAAGTCAATTGCTTGAATAACAAGCTTAGCTCGGTATGTGATTGCCAAACTTTTCTTGGTAAAAGCTCCCGAAATACAACGAGAAATAACCTCTCGCATAAAGACGTGACAATCATGACTTTCCATTCTATATAGTTTATTATTTCTCATATCAACATATCTAGCTAGGTTGGAGACATATCCATTAGGAAACCTTAGTTATTTGATCTATTCAAGCAATTTTTTTTTTTTGTTATTTGAAAAGGGTAAATACAACTTTTAGGTATTTTCTATAGGCATCATCCTTTACTAATTCGGCCTATTGCAAAAAAATTTCAAGTCTTCTCTAGATTTGTCATTGTCTTTAGTTTTACCCAAGCACATTCACAATCATGTTAAAGATATTATAGAACATATTTTTCTCAATATGCATGATATCTAAATTGTGCCGAATGAGATTTATTCTAGTAACGTAAATCCTAAAAAATACTTCATTTCTTCCATCCACACATCCAAGAGATTCTATTGTTATGATCGTCTACACCCTTTTCTATCACCTTTAATAACCCTCATTATTCCATTAATTGTAAAATCTCACCACCATATTGAATTGGAGGAGGGCTATATCTAACAAATTTTTTTTTTACAATGAATGCTTTCTTGTTTCTTCTAAATGGATGATCTTGAGGAAAAAGCTTTTGGTGATTGTCAAATCATGAGGTTTTCCTTTCACTAAGACAGAAGAAAGCATAAAAATTTTAATACAATAAGGACAAGCTAATTTTTTTTTTATAGTACTAAAATCGACACAGCATCGAATATGCGGATAAGTCATTGATAATTCATATCACCATGGCTCTTAATATAAAATTTTGCTTATAAAATACATCATACGTCACGACGTCCACTTCCCACAACTCGAATCAACTAGTAATGAAAGGTTGCAAGTAAACATCCAACTTATGCTTTGAAGTTATTAGACCTAGAACAATCAATGTTAGAAATATATATTTCTCTCTATACACATCCACGATGTCAAATTATAAAAAGTAACAATTATTGGTCATGAAGAATATTAGGTTCCGGATAGATCGAATGATTAAAACCCATCAATACAAGTTTCTAATCTAAGATTCCTTCTTTCAGCTACAAAAGAAACATGAATATGATTGAAACTCCATAATGCAATAGAGATAGAGGGATGACACATTACTCGTATATCCTTAAATTCATGCTCGAGGTGACACATCATGTGCTTAACTATGGCAATTGATGCATACAATCTCTATAATCGTAGGGTGAGAGGAAAGTGGTACATTTTTTCAATTGCAACAAGTTTTCTTCTTACCATTCCCCGACAAAGACTTTGATATCGAGGATGTGCATAAAACTTGTATTTTTCTAATTCGCTATCTTCATCCTAATAGATCACGCAACCTCTCTTCCAACAATGTATCTTTTTCATTAGTAAACCCATCCCCTTAACTAACTTCTTTATTTCATAAAATTTATTTATCATAAAATTATCAACATGCACCAACACCTTCATCACTGACATAACCGGTCGTAACATTTTTCAAGAAAATGATACTTCGATTTTAGATTCGGTAATCGAGCAACGGTTGACAATTGTGAGTGATTATCATAACTAGTCCAAATCTCTCTATAAGATACATCCAACATATCATAAAAGGTTTTAGCATTGGGATTTAGCACCTCCTCATCCATGCCGGATAGATCAAAAGATGGATCGATCGCATCTATAACCATTGTTTGATATGGATTTTAGTGTTTACTAGAACTACCTTTGCCAACTTGATAATTTCTAATAACTAAATAACCTTATAAAATTGAAAATCAGAATTCCATCTAAAGATTCAATATATACAATTTTGTATCTTATGATCTTTGTGTGATAATGCAAGGACCGGATCCATTTCTGTCTTTAATCTTACCATTATATGGCATGGATCTAACAAACCTATGATCTGTTTCTCCCATCAAATTTCATTGTATTAAATATGGGATTGAATTTCCTTGATAGTTAGCCTCCTTTCGGAAAATTTCAATATCAATGTTTTTTGAAATTGTATCACTAGTGTTTCAACTTCTACAAAAGAGAAGATGCGAGTTGGTTTAGAACTACTTATGATAGGTTGTCTTGGTGTAAGGGGGATATCTCGTAAGAAGATATGTTTTTTTTTTTTTTTTTTTGTATTTTAGGGTTTACTATTGTAACAACTCGTTTATGATAACACCTTAGTATAGGATAGGGGTGATGCTGATTCTAGATTATGTTCTTCACATTTTGACATTATTTTGCTTAGTTTTGATACCCGAATGACAATGATCTCGGTCTTATCTCGTTGTAGAACTCATATGATTCACCAATGAAATCCGATTATGGTTCCTATCGAAAGAGATGTCATAAGAGATGGAAACTTCCATCTTGGTATCATAAGATTGCTCGCTAATGGTGGCCGCAGCATCATGGTCGTAAGAGATAGGATTTGCACTCGTTCGGCTTCATCATTCGGTCTTCTCGCCTTCATGCCTTTTAGTTTTTTTAGAGAGCATTTTTTTTTCTTGTGTGACGTAACTTGATGTCTTGCATTTATTGCACTTGGAATGTGGGTATTGTCAATAATATTACCGACCTATTTAAGTCTCGGGTCGGAGATGTTACATCATCTTTGCATGATTTGTAGTATTTGTATATTTAATTTTATTATGTCTTGTATTTTTGTGCATTTATTTGAATGTGATGTCAATCTAGGTCAATCTAGATGGAACAGGTTTAGGACATGAGACCAATTTTATATCAATGATGTGACTTTATCATCATAATCATATTTTATTTTTTTTCTTATTTTTTATTTTTCAATGCTATTAATTTTTTTCTTGTAGATTTTTCCTTGAACTTTGTTATGGGCTTAAGACACTGTGTCTATGTTTTTAGATTATTTTATCTTAGATTTGTAATTTTTTGCATGGTTTGACGAGTGAATTTAGGCATATGATCTATGTTTGTTTTATTTGACTTTTATATATATTTGTATGGATATGGGTTGTCTAATTTACAATGAGTTTTAAGTCTTGACTTCTACCTTACTATATGGGCTTCAACGGTCTAATAATAAATTAGGTGAGAGACTGAATCTTATTTACGTCTCCAAATAACTTCACTTACAACTACATAGAAAGGCTCAATAATTAATTAATGAATCAAGATAGAAAAGTGGGCATTTAATTGGACTTTGTATGAAGAAATTCCTATAGGTTTGAATTGAATGGTAACCTCGTTAGAAGGACACATTAGGGTGATCGTAGTCTTCTTTAGTTGTGTAATAAAATCTCTTAGCTAGAACTCTTAGACCGGTTGCTAAATTCTTCTTAATTTTTACCTTTAGAAAAGCCGAGTTGCGACACTACTTTTCGAACACTTTTATTTTTATGATCATTGAGAGGTCACTTTGTGACAAAGCCAATAAAGTTCTTGAAATGGGTTTAATGGTTAACCTCACTTAAGCACCCATTAAGCTTGTTCTATTTAAAGAAAGACCATCTACCAACCTATGAAGCCCAACGTGCACATTAAGCCAGCACACACATGAAAGCCTAGTTTTTATGTCAAGTGAGAATGTTTGAGCTCCCTCCAAAGCCGATAGAAGATGGACTGTAAAGTTAGATGAAATGTAGAGGAAGTCCTATCCGAAAGAGGATAGATGACCATCAATAAATAGTATACGGATAGTGAAAAGAAATAACAAATTTCTTTTAACAATAAAACACAACCTAGATAGTTAGGAGGAATGTAAAAATTACGAGCATGAGAAAAATAAAGCAAGACATTATAGCCCAAGAAAAGGATAACACTTATATATTGTAGTGCAATGTAAGAAAAATATATAACATTACAGCTTATATTGGAGAGAGTAGCCCATTACCGGAGGTCATAGAGGAACGAGAAAGTCTATAAATATCAAGCTGCGACCAAAGAGAACAATACACAACCAAACTCTTACAAATTGTAAACAACTCAAGGAGCACTATCACAAGTTTCACACTTGAAACTTGTGAGGCGATAGCTAGTAGGTGATAATGTGTGGACGATAGCTTATAGGCAATAATCGGTAAGCATTAATAAGTAAGGGATAATCTATAAGCTGCTAGCTAGTTCTTCATCGTCCGTTCATGCTCACAACCACCATCATCCACGGTTTTTTAAGTAACTATTATGCCTAGAGTGTGACTTCTATGAATACTCACAATTTTTCTTTATAGTAAATTTGTTTAATTCAACATTGTAAAGACTACGGTGTTGCTTTTATAAAGATTTTGAGTTCATTGTTAATTATTAAGTTTTCATTCATATTGTAGCCTTCGATGTTAGTGTTCGATACTTAAACTTTTAATTTTAAGGTTTAATCTTATTATTTAGATTGCATACTAGATTAGGAAATTTGACTTCTACTTTGATTTATCTTTTATTTCAAGTTATTTGCTCTTCAATCATGCAACCAACCTGTTCGGGAGGTAATGATTTCCCCTTGAGAGGTGTTCAAGCCTATTGCAATCAATTTAATAATTTTAGATTTAGTTTTTTTGCAACATTAAATTCCAAAAACATAGTTGTAATTTATATTTGTAAGTTAATTTAGCTCATCTATCTATATGATTGAGAGATTGACTTCTCTACATAAAACGTCCCAATTATATTGTACTTTTTTGTTACAAAGTTTTACATATAATCCTTTAATTGATTGGAATGCTGCGTTATTAAGCCAAGATCATTGTAGATTGTTTCATTCAAAAGAACAACAACTGTTACTCCCATGCCATTTATTCCACTACGATAATGAAATACAGTATTGACAACAGTGAAACCACAAAGAAATTAAACTGCAACAAACACAGACCCATGAATCTCTGTCAGAATATTCAACCTCCTTCCCTTATTTTACATGTCCATAAACCAGGACAAAATTCAAATTCCAAATAAAGAAAAAAATATCAATCATAGTCCCTGGATGACTGTTAATAGACCGAGAGATGAAAGGGGAGAGCGAAGGCTAACACTGAGGCCAATACTGTCATGGTAAACAGATGAGGACTGCAGTTAGCAGGGGAACCATTGCCACCAGTAAGAGATGGAGGAGGCGCTGGTGATTGCATTTTCTGAGGAGAAGGAGCTGGTGCATGATGTGCCCCTTCAGACGCATGTAAGAATGACAACATCATACAAATCACGCAAATTGAAGCCAACTGAATGAATTGTATCCTGCTATTTCCCATATTTAAGTGGATACAGGACTTGTGAGAAGAAAACACAGACGATGAGCCTATTGTCTGCCAGAAACCAATAGCTTTATATATAGGATATGAGATGAGACTGAGGAGAAGGTAATCAAGATTGAATGAAGGTTATAACCTGGCTAGTTTTTACTTGAATCAGTCAAAACAAAACTTCTTTATTGAACGTCACGCTCACGCTCATGCACAATGGAAGAATAGACGATCCAATCAACCGACCTACTGTAGCAGTTTGATTAATAAGTTGTATATTTCTTGTAATAAGATTAATAAAACTAGTTAGCCCCAAGAAACCTAATATTTATATACATGAGTCAGGGCTAGCCAACCAGCCTCCAACACAGGACATTGTTATCTGGCCTGAACTACTCATTGCAGGAACAAAAAATTTGCAAGGGGAGTTGGTAGAGAATTTCAGAATTGACTTTTCTTATTCATAAACTAATTAATTCTCCAAACCCACACTAGAGACTCTTCATATAGTTATGATTTTATTTTCCTAAAGAAATGGTGCGAGCGTTTGAGAGGTTAGCTAGTGAAGTCTTTTTTAGTGACAGAGTCGGATCCCTTTGTTGATATCAGGAGGGAATCAAGGAAATAAGAGGCTTATTCCATCCTATATGATTGAAAGAGAAAATATAATGCTATTTTCTGTCCCTTAAACTGTCTGGAATGATCCATTTCTTTTCCAAACTTTTGCTTATTTAATAGGGTCCAACTAGTCTTTTGCGCACAAAGTTATAGTCGCTAAGATCAATACATTCACATGGGTATCTTTCCCGTGCTGATGCTTTACAAAGAAACTAAAGTAAATGATAAAGGAAGCTAGTATGAAAATGTTCAAAATAATAATAATAGGAAAGCCAATATCATACCTATCAAATGTTACATAAAAATCATGAATAACAATACAGTGTTGAGTGTTGACAACAGCAAAGGAACATGGAATTTAGAAAAATTCAAACTCAACCAGAGTCCCATAAATCTTGCAGATTCATCGAAAACCCTTATTTTCAAACATCAGAAAGCACAAATGCAAAGACATAAAACCACATTTTCTGATTCACTGGAAACGGGCTGAGAAGGCTAACAGCAAGGCCAATATTATGGCAAATAGATGAGGAGAGCTGTTAGGTGTGGAACCATTGCCACCAACAGTAATAGCTGGAGGAGAAGCATCTGGTGAATCTGCTTGCCCTTCAGACATACCTACCAATCCCTGAATTTGTTCTAATCAATACAAGGATTTGGTAAAAAACCAAACATCAAATATCAATGCCGGCCTCAAGAATGAATGTGTTAATTTAGGGTGGCTCTAGATGCCATGGCTCTCAAATTTGCTCTCGCTGAAGAGAGAGAGCTTCCTGATTGCTCAAGAGTTCCCCCAAAAGCTTCCATAAATTCTTCTCTCTGCAACCTTAGAGCTAATGCAGCATCCTCATCTTGGCTTAGTATTCCTCCTCTCCGTCTCCTCCCCCTTGCTTCTCTGCTTGATATTAGCCGCTCAAGAGCTTCTCTTCTTCGCAATCTTTGCACCAATGGAGTAACCTCGTCATCTTGATTCCACATGTCTCTACGCACACTTGAATCTCTATTTGACTCTCTAGAAGGCTCGTCTTGCCTCAACATCCCTCTATTGATAGTCACACCTCTATTTGATACCCTAGAAGACTGAACGCTAGTATCTCTGTATGACACTCTAGAAGGCGGAATGCTTCGGCTTACTAGATTGTTACTGGTTCTTCTTTCTGGGTTTTGACGCTCTTCTTGGTTTTTCGAGCCCCCAGATGCCTTCTTTGCTTCAACTTCTTGTGGAAACAGAAGCTGTATTGTGTTCCAAAGAACTGTGTTCACTGTACAAGATCGGCTATTGCTGCAATTCTCACAATAAAAACAAGGTTAACGTTAAAAAAAAGGTCTTAACGACTTCAAGATCCCCCGAAACTAAACCTTAGGTACTAATAAGTTCAAAGGTAGTATCTGAATTCACCCTATCAGCTGTCTGCACTTCGGGCATTTCTTCCCACATTTGTCAGCAGCAGATCGCAAACATTTCTTACAAAAACTGCAAACAAAGAGAAACCACTTCATCAATAAGCATGAAACTATCCGCGCAGTACACAATATACAAAATCACATTATCATAGAACTGTTCAAACTGACTCACAACTATATGCTCTTTAATTGCTCTCTTAAAACAAAATGCAATATGCTAAATGAAGATTCCTTCCTACCAGGAAAGCCAAAAAGGAAAGTTGAATTTTCCATTTACCTGTGTCCACAAGAAGTGGTACTAGGTTCAAAGCAAATCTCCAAACAAATCTGCCAAAAGTACCAAGAACATTAAACACCAATATTAGAGAGAGAGAGAGAGAGAGAGAGAACACAGTATATTTCCATCAGCTGAAGTTAAAACAAAAAACAATACAAGAGTATTATAAAGTCTTACAGCACAAGAAAGTTCTTCTCTAAGTTTATCCATGCAAGCAAGAGAAGAATTTGAGCAAGAAACATCAGAACTCTCTTTAGCCAATTTGTCTCCTTGTAATTTTTTTTCTTCATTGACAACAATTTTCGGCTCCGTCTTCTTTTTCTCACTTTCTATCCACCGAAAACATCGAAAGAACTGAACATTCTCAATTTCTAGCCTTGAAAAATTGGAAGAACAAATAACCCATTTTCAAGAATGTAAAGAGGAAAGTACCTTGCATTACAGGTTCCTCTTCTTCATCAAGATTAAGAACAGATAAAGGAATCGAAATCGGACTCTTCTTCTTATCCCTCCGCTTTCTAATAGACAAAGAAAAAACTAATCTATATTTTCCCCTTTCAATTTTTCCATAAAAATAAATGAGAGAAACAAATAAGGCATTTGAAATCAAAGCTAGGATTTCCAAGTCTAGATTTTTCTCACCAAAGTTCTCTTAGAAACCGGAACGGGCACAATTTTAATAAAACATTCTTTATTTCTTTTTGGTGGGTTTTGTTGGAAATAGTACCTTCTTGAATTGGTTGAAGGTGGAGTCTTGCAGTGCAAATCAGAGCGTTTCTTGTGTTTGAACTGTCTTTCTGGCGTGTCTTCAACAATAAGGCTTGCGACAAGGATAGATTCTTCGTCCCAACCAGCCATGGCAGCCACGGATTTGAATCTAGGACTGAATAGATTCTCCGTATTTTGGCTATTGTCAACTGGGTTTGATTGCATCCGGACTCTTGGACTCTCCTTTTGTTCTTCACTCACCATTTTGGAGTCTTTTTGGGTTTTTCAGTTTGAATCGAGAGAAAGGATGGGAAAAGTCGCTTTCTTTTCTTGAGAGAGAGGGGGTGGTTTCTTGGTTGATGGAGGCGGAGATGAGATGTGTTCTAACGGTCGAATTTTGTTTTTTTTTTAATTGATTTGACATGGAAGCCTTGCAACGGCTATAAGCCTATAACTAGGGTTTGTATTTATTAATGAAGGGGTAAATCCCTCATGTCTGCTTCTTCACATGAAGTTTTGTATGCCTCAATCTCTTACCGTCCATCTAGGATTGAAAATATGAAGCAATGATGGATTGGGATTTCGATCATTTTTTCTTTTTATTACAATTTCATCTATTTTTCACTTTATTATATTAATTTTTTCTCTCTCTTCTTTCCACTCTTCATAACTATGGAATTGACAAAGAAGCTTGTTCTATTAAGATATTTCTTAATCGATGTTTATTTAGTCAATAAGCTTCTTTGTTCATCCAGGGAAAAAAAAATACTGTTTTTTTTTTTTTAAGAATATTTTTACTAACAATATTACATTACTTACATTTTTTTTTTTAGGATGAACATTGATCCCTTGAAATTTGTTAATTTTTTAAATTATACTTATTATAATTATTAAAATACTATGGTAAGGAAATAACACAAAATAGTATTCATTATCAATTAAAAAATATATATATATTATTGTTTGAAGAAAAAATTGTAATCTTAAACTCTAGAAATATAAGTAGTGGTTAGGATAATTAATAACCAAGCTCTTATTATTATAACCAAAGCTTTCAACTTTTTAATTTTTTATGATTTTTTTTCTTGGTAAACATTCAGCTGAAATTTTATGATTTTCTTTTTTCTTGCGTGAACATTCAGCTTGGTAGATGTATTTTTAGCTTGATTTTTGTGCATCAAGAAAAAAATCAATTTTTTAAATCCAATTAAAAAATAAAGTATCTCATGTCGAAACTATGAAATATATGAGAATTTTATTTTTCAGTAAAAAATAAAGTTTTAACAATAATAACTAAAAAAATCCTTTTAATAATCATGTAAACCTTTTAAGTTTCAATTTTTATGATTTTAAATAATCTAAAGTTCGGATTTTTATATACGTAACAAATTTATTGAATGAACATGCTCATCTTATGTATTCGATAAAACAATAAAACTATAATCTAGACTTTTAAGTTTTGAATATTTTAGGGAAAAAAAAAAAAATCTATAATGAATGTGTTTGCAGTAACAAAGTCCACATTATTAGAGTTGGGTAATAAAAATTTTCTTTCTATACTCAGTTAGACACCCTTTAGCAGCCTTGAAATATATATTTATAGTTTTGCTCCAATTCTATAAACTTGGCACAACGTAGCAAGCACACATTGTTTTTAAGTCCCCTAACCTAAAAAAGCAAAATAGAAATAATTGCAACCATGATTTATCAGCATTCTATATGATCCACACTCCCACTCCATGTATCATTTTTCTTTGTTATTAAGCATATATACAAAAAAAAAAAAAAAAAAAAAAAAAAAAAAAGAAGAAAGAATCGATCTACAAACTCATCCCTAAATAATTGTACATCATTATTAACACAAATGACCAAAAAAAGAAAAAAAAATACACATCTCTCTCTCTCTCCCCCAAGTCGTAAATACCCTTTTTACCCTTTCGCATAAAACTTCTCGTACTATTTTGCCGAACCAAAACCGTATTCATTAATTTCCACATCCTCCTCTTCCTGCCATGGCAAATGGTTGGTTAATGGGTCTGTAAACTTTTGCAACACCAGGTCCCTGAGCCCAGTGTCTGTCACCTCACAAAACTTACTTGACCAATCTGGTGGCTCAACGGCTCTAGTCCCCAACCCCGGGGCTCGATCCTTGGACCCAACATTCTGTTCGTTCTGCCAATCAGTCACATAAGTAGCCACCCTCCTGTAGAACTTCTCCTTGAACACCTCCCACACTTGATACTTGTAGTGATTAATAACCAAAACCCCTCTATCGGCATTCACATACCTGAAACCCTTGCTCAAATGAAAATGGTGAACCACGTTGATCAACGTGGAATTCAATGCCTCAGGCTTCACTATACTCTTGTGTCTCTCCGGAACTCCCAATCGGCATGTATACCCTACCGTTACTCCCTGTGACGGAACCAGTTTGAGCCCAGATGGTCCAAAACTATAGCATGAAGTTCGTATCTCACCAACATTACTTCCAGACCCCGATTGATTGCTAATCACATCATGCAAAGTTAACCCAGATGGTGAATGGAAAAATTCATCTACGTCTATGAACCCAACCCACTCGCATGACTCTCGCGCCCTTAGCGCGCAATGAGCGAACCCTGCTTCCTGCGTCTTGATCCATGGCCAAACATGCCTGGAGATGTTAAAATTGGAGCTGGCTAGTGAGTCAATAACATCTTCAATCTCATCATCGCTATTGTTGTCATAAATGTACCAACGTTGTACTCCGATCTGGGCATGGTAAATGACCCATTCTCTTAAGAACCTAGCTTGATTGCGAAGCATGGTGCATATGCAGATTTCATGTGCTTTTTCTTCTTCTGCTGGACCGGGTTCGGGCTTCTTCGACCGGAACACCGGGCGGGCTATAGAGTGTAATGTTCCTCTGCCTTTAATTCTAATGGATGCCTTGATAGAACCGTTGGCCACTCGTGGGTTACGCAAGATGCTCAGAGGGGTTTTGCACCGTACGATCTCCTGAGCCATGGATATGACTTGGGATCGTAATATAAACTTAGGTCTTCTAAAATCCCAGCCGTACACACACTCGTACCTGGAAGCATTAGAGAGCTTCTCTGGCCGTAGATTAAGCCCCTTGACAAAAACAACTGTAGTATTATCACGGTCGATCAAAGCTTCATAAACAAGCGAGTCCCACCTGTGAGTGGGTCCCGGATGGATGTAGCCACCGGATTTCAAAGCCAGCGAAACAGTGTGGTCACGTGGATTGAGTGGGCACCGTACGATGTGGTGATCGAAATCCTTATCGTCCATGTGATTAGGGGGCAGCTTAAGCTGCGGCTGGGATGATGATTTATTAACCGACAAATAAACACACAGGAGGTCCTCTTCTGTAAGTAACTGAGATGATGAAGGGTATTTTAGGAAAACTAGAACCTGGTCTGGGAGTATAACTGTTTCACGAATTGATAGTGCCGGAACCACAGCAGAGTCGCCGGAAAGTGCCTCCATCGCCGGCGTCCGCCATGTTGAGACAATTTCTGGGTGGAACTTTTCTATTTCAAATAAACAAAAAATCAAATTCAAAATTACACTTACTTAGTAGATTATTACTACTAGTTCAATTTTTAATTGGGAAGTTATGAAAAATAATCTTTTTCGATGCCCATGTATAATAATTAAGAAAGTTTAAGGAAGACCCAGAAGGAAAGTAACCACACAAAACCTTAATTAATAAAAAATTAAGGAAAACTAGAGTAGAAAATTAATAATTAAACATGTAAGGTACTAACAAAAAAAAAAAAAAGAAGAAGAAGAAAATAGAGTATTACCTCCAAAGAAGAAGATGCGAAAAGTGGAGAAAGTGAATCCGGAGAAGAGAATACAAAAGAAGACGAGAAAAAGAGTGCACCAAAAGAACCTATTCCAAGTAACAACATCTCGTTTCCTACGATCTTTCATCTCTGTTAATTCTGCTGTTGCTGCTGATGAAACCAACAACAACAATAGCTAAAATGATCCGTAACAAGTCCTCCAAGAAAAGCCGGAGTTTGTTTCTTATGCTCATTCATATGGATTTTACATATATACATAGGTATATATAAATGAAAAATTAGTGTTTTGGGTGGATGGGTCTTTGGTTTTTGGGTGTTTGTATTCTGCTCAGTGCTTGAAAGCTAAAGGGAAAGTTTTTGTTTTGTTTTTATTTTTTCCTGAGAAAGAAAGTGGGGAGAGAGAAAATCCCAAAGGGGACGCCGATGATGGGGAGAGAAAGAGACGGCTTGCTTCTCTGATCTAATCTTTCTGCTGTTTCTACCGTTCATGTCGGTTTTTATGCGGTCGTTATATTATCATTTCTGGTTGCTTTCTAGTGTTGCGCTTCACTTTTCAGCGGAAGATCAACGGCCAATGTCATGCTGCCACTTCATTGCATCTTCTTTTTCTTATGAAAATTTCCTGTTTCCCAAATTCCCATTTTTTATATTGTTGAGACAGAGAGTACATATATTAATATTTTCGATCATTAACTGTCTGTCTGTCTGTCCATCTATTTAAAAACAAAAGATATATGTGGCTCACCAATTCCCAAAATGACTGCTGAAAAAGATTAAGCAACAGAAATATAAAGAATTTTTCTATTTTCTATTTTTTTTTCCCCAGAAAATGAAAGATTAAGAACTTGTTTAATTGTTGATAAAATTTTAATTCTCATTTATTCTAAACAAGGTTACTGGAAAGTTAATCTAAATGGTAGTTTGCTAGGAAATGTTAGCAGAGCAAGTTTTGCTGATCTTATTAGAAAAGATGATGGTTCTTGGGTAGCATTTTTCTCTTCTCGTACATTGAGAGAATGCAATCAATGCACTAATAATCTAGCTCAGTTGGGTGCTAAAAAAACAACAAAAAAAAAAAAAAGGTGGATTTGCAGATTCGGAAAATCTCTCCTCCTTGTTTAAGTTATCTCCAGAAAACAATTTTTTTTTTTTTAATTGAGATAAATCCTACAAACAGATGATGGTGGTGTGCTATTTAAGAGGCTTCAATTTCTGGTTTTATTTATTTTTTAATTCACACTCTCTATCAAAAATAATAATAGTGACCATAATTTGTCATGGGATGATGAAAGATTCCATTGTGGAAAAAAGATTTCAAGACATAATTTCCTCTCTTGTCTTGGCTATTTCCATTTTGAATTTCAAATTAATAATCAACAATTTATAAATAATAATTAAAATGTATGATAAAAACACAAGTTGATACATTATGAGACATTTTAAAATAATTGTTATTTTATAAATGATGGGTCCACTTTACGAGAGAAACAAATTAAAAAATATATATATTTGTAACCCATAAAAAAACTATAAAAATATTTTCACTTAAATTTCAATTATTAATATTAATATTAATATTATTTTGTATCTAAGTAATGGTTATATTCATTTACACTACATCTACAAGTAATCTTAAAAAAAAAAAAAAAACAAAACAAAACAAAAATATATAGCATAAGTAAATTAAAATTTTCATTACAGGTAGTTACATTGGTTAGTCGTTTCATTTACAAAATTAAACAATATCACGTTTGATAGGTTTTTTTTTTTTTTAAAAAAAACTTGTGTTTGATTAGCTCTACACAACAAAACAAAAAATTGAGAAAAAGAAGGATAACAACGGTAGCATTCATAATTAGTTTTTGTTCTGAAATTAATTAATTACCTAAACAACATGACCAAGCCAAGCTGGCCTCTTAGCAACCCAAAAAGTGGGAGCCACGTGGTTAGGTATAGCAGAAGATTATAGACCCTTTCGCAGTAAATTAGAGACCTTTCCTGTTAATTAGGGGTGAGTGCTAATCACTGACTGAATTCATTGAGCGCTTCTTTCTTTGCACGTGGGTCCCATCAAAGAAGCCCAAAAATTCTCTAAACTTTGCCACGTCATCTTAGCTGGTAAACTATCCGTGTTTGAGACGCTTCTCTAAACAAAACAAAATAAAGGTCTCCCCTGTCCATTCTGTCCTTCTAAGTATGTTAGAGATATTTTGAATATTAACCGGGATAATTGGATTGCAAGTACATTGATTTTTTTTTTTCAATTTAGGCATATGAATTTTAGTTTTTTTTATTTATGTATGTTAATTTTTTAAAAAATTATCAATCAAGTATTTCTACCCAACGACTATCCATTGTTTATTATCCAATAATGTATCATTTGTCCCAACTACTAAATTAAGATTTTTTATTATTATTATTTCTTTAAGGTAATTTTTACTTTCAAATTATTTTACCATTTGAATAATTATTATAAAAAAGAAAAAAAATGACAAAATAATTTGGGAATCATTTTTTTTTCAAGAATAAAACCATAAAATTGCAATTTAGTCATTTGAGATAGAAGACACGTTCTCATATAATAGACTTATCAATAAAAGTTGAAAAAAAAATACTTGATAGATATTTAAAAAATTAAAATTTATATGCTCAATTGAAAAGATGTTAAAAATTAATATATCTTATAATGCTTAGTGTGTACATAAAAAGGTCACGTGGAACGAAAAAGGAAAAGGTCATGTACGTGTAAAGGGTGAGCAAACGGTTCGGTTAATCGAAAATCAAATCAAACCGAATCGAATTATGTATTTTGGTTCGGTCTTAAACTTAAATTTATAAAATTAAAAACCGAATTGAAAAATCGAAATTATTTCGGTTCGGTTCGGTTTTTGAAAAAAAAATCGATTTTCATCGAAAATAGAAAAAATTAAAAGTAAAAAAAAAAAAAAGATTCATAAATGCTAACTCCCTAAAACCCTAATCGGCTAACTTCACTAAATCAAAATCAATTTTTAGCGGCGCCTCCCTAGCTCCCCATCCTTCGCTCCATCTTCTGCGATTCTCCTTCATCATCACTTCATCGGGCCTTCTACCTCAACAAGATAGCAACCGGTAACTACAACACACCGAACACCCACCTCTCTCTTGCTCTCTATTCTCTTCCTCCAATTTCACCGATCACCACCTACCTCTCCATCATCCTCGCTTCGATCTCACGATCATGGTCATCACTCATCCGTCACCATCCAATCACCCTCCACCCTCCTCCTCCTCCTACAATTCCGTGGAGCACCTCGTCATTGAGTGGATTGCTTGAAATAAATTTGCCGACGAGCTAGGTCGCAATGGGGATGGGTATTCCTCTCCGGCAAATTTCGTATGACACTAGTGGATCCACAATTTGAACAAGGCATTTTCCTTTAACCATTAAATATATGTTCTTTGGTATTGTTATTTACACTTCTTATTTAATTAGAGATAAGATGATTTTATGGAATGGAAAGTGGTAGAGGTTATGATGCATGGAGGAAAACTTCATTGGTTGCCACCCTTTTTTATTTTGACCGGGTAGAGTCCATAAAGCCAAAAGGTCATTGTGTTTGTGTAGTCGTGCGTGTGACGAGTGAGGACCCGGATGATGGGTTTGGGCCTATAAGAGGAAAGGTAAAGGTAAGCCTCTTGGGGTCTTGATCAGTCATACTTGAAGCTCATTAATTTGTTATACACCCATATTGAGTTACATGGCCTTGTAATAGGAATTAAGTTTTAAAAGCAAGCCAAATGTGTGAGCTTACTTCTCTGTCATCGTACTTTTTATTGTCTATCTTTTGATTTTCTTAAAATAATTCTATTGACGAGAACCTTGGTTTTTCTAACTTAATGATTTGAATTATCATCTGCAGATCGGAGGAGGCATTCATGAATTCTAAGATCCTTAATTTGGTCAGCTATCAATTGAAAAAATTAAATAAAGTATATGCAAGTTGATGACTAACTAAAATCAATTGTCTTTTACAAGTTCGAGTTGTTTCTTTGCAAGACAATAAAATGAAATTAACTTGTTGTTGCAAGATGGTTTTAGGACTTTGTGAGCTTGAATTTTGCAAACCGAAAGAAAGTCTGTTTTAATTTCTTTTCTACTTGCACAAAATTGCTAATGGAAATTTTCTTGACTATATTTTTTAGTTGGAATGATGATTGTAAAATTATTGGGGATGTTATACATATTGATAACCTTTACCTTGCTTTATATATCTTGTTATGATAGTGATTGATGTTAGAAAATTGTAATCTTCAATAGTGACTAATTCGATCTAACATTTTGTTTCCTGTAGTTCATTCCCAATGGCTTTTTAGCAAGATAAGCAAGGAGATCATGTAGGTCAAATTAAGAATTAGGATGTTGCCTTTATAGACTTTCTTGGTGTAGGAATATCTTAATTATGAAAGATATTATTTAAGCTTTAGTTTTATCATCATGATGAGCATAATCTTGGGCATCATCTTCCAATTTTTCCAATTAAAACAATATTGGTCGGATGTCCGGTTCATATATATTTATCGAGTGCTTGATGAGTTCGGAAGAAGCAAAAGAAGGAAGACAACTACACTTTTTTTCTTCTCTCATTTAGGACTTTCAATGTGCCAACTGTGATTAGGTAGCTACAAAAGATATTTCCTATGTAAGGGCTTTGTTTTCTTACTATCTTTATATATATATAGTAAATGATGAAAATGATGGTGGCTTAAGACGGACAATGAAACTATGGTCCGGAATTTTTTTTCGGAAAAACATTTCGGTTAAAACTAAAATATTTTGAAACCGAACCGAAATAATTTGGTTACAAATCGAATTTACCGAATTTATTTCGGTTCGATTTTGGTTTTTATTTTCCTTGATTCGGTTAACCGAAAACCAAACCGAATCGTACAAAATCGAACCGTTTAACTCGTTTGCTCACCCCTATGTTTGTATGCTCATTTTGGTCTTTAATGAGCCATCAAATTGGACTATCATCCTTTCAAGTTCTTTATGAATGCAATCTGTCATTTTAAAAAAATTGAATTACTTAAATAAAAAAAATAAAATTTATATAATTGAAAATTTTAAAAATTAGTTTATCTATA